AATGTTACCTCTCAGAGTTTCATCTGTTAAAAAAGATATTAATAGCCGGGCTGGGTCACAACTGACCAACGGTCACCAGGCCCGTCACTGAGACCCAGAGAATGAACAGAGCAGTTACCCAGAGGCAGTGTGGCCATGGAGTCAGACGGGCCTGGGTCTGAATCCAGAATCCAGCAGCTGCATGAGCTCTCTGGGGTCTCCGAATGTCAGTTTCCTCATCTGAAAAGAGGAAGCAATACCTCCTTTGAGAGTTGTGGAAGAGCAGAAAAGAACATATTTAATAAAGAAGAGCTATGATGCTTTTTAGAATAAAGTGACTTTTCTTATTGGAAAAGCAAGACATATTAATTAGAAACTAACTTGACTAATGTAGTTTAGGATTACTTACTTAAATTTAGAAATTAAACATGAACAAAAAGAAGAAACCCTTTTTAAAATACCCTCATCCCTGAGAGAGAACAACCACTGACATATTGATGTATACCCTTCCAAAACTGTCCATACCTATAGGCACACATTTCTTTAATGGGCCCATATCTCGGCACTTGCTTTTCTGCTGCTAAGTGTACTTATTATAAACATCCCTGAGTCACTACATATGCCTTGGCAACATCGTTTTTAATGGCTGTAGACTATTCTGTGGGGCGGCTGGTTCCACTATTTGAAAGCGATTACTGTTCAGGCGACTGGTAACAAACACACCACAGGCTTTGGCACCAGAGGGACCAGCTTTCCCAGGAGCAAGTCCGTGAAGCTCTGGAGGTTGTCACTCCCTGCGTGAAGGATGTAGAGAATAACACGACAGACCCACCAGATTCTCGCGGGGGTTAAAGTAGATAATATGGGAAAGTGCTTGGCTTAGAACCTGGCACTTAGAACGTTCTCGGATACAGCCAATGGTGCCTGAGACTACGTTCTTAAACTGGCCCTGAACTCGTCTGTCCTGTTAAAAGTCTCGTATTGGAATTCCTAACTGTGATTATTAATAATAAAGTTTTCCTCTTCTCCCCTCGCTCCATACACGGATTTACTGATACCCCCTCACCTCCCACCCCCGGGATCGGGCAGAACAAAATGAAGTAGATGCCCTGGGAGCTACCAGAGGGTTTGAGCCCGGCGGCCGCAAGGGAAGCCCCGGGAGCTTCCCAGTCCTGGCCCCGAAGGGGCGGGCCCGCGGCCCGGCCTCCCATTGGCTGTCAGTCGCGTCACCTGCCTTGGGTGGGCCTGGAGGAGGGACCTGGTCCCACCCTGGGCCACAGAAGACCGGCATGACCGGGGCCCCGCGGTGGGCCTCGTTGCTCCTGTGCCTGCTGCAGTCCACTTCAGGTAAGGGCACGGGGCCGCGGGGTGGGCGTGGGGCCGCGGGGTGCCCCATCCGGTCCGCACCCACCTTCCGACCCAGAGCTCCGGGGAGGGAGTGCCTTGGGCATCAGTCTGTGCGCCGCAACCCGTGCGAATTAGCAGAGCCCACCCAGCACCAGTTTTCTTTTTCCGAGGACTAAACAGACCCGGGTCTTTGAAATTCCCTTCCGGGAAGGAACTGATCCGGCTTCCTAATGCCAGTTCAGCCTCAGACGAACAGAAAATAAGATAGTGGCCGTTCAAAAGTCAGCTGCATGTGTTTATAAAGTGGTTTTTAAGGTTTCCCAAAAGCCCTATCCGCTGCATTAATATCACAGACCCTGACTAGTAGGGGAAATTAAGCAGAAGTGCCCTGCTGTCGCCAGGGGTGCCCTCCCCTTCCTCCCGACTCGGGGTGTCAGAAGTTCCACCCAGGCCTGAGGGGAAGGAGTGCCAGCTTAGCCCGTGCTGTGCTGTCATTCTAACAAGCCACCTTTTTTTCTGAGCTCTCACTGGTAAATAAGGTGGCAGGGTACAAAATACCTTGGGATAGGAACCAACCACCAAACCCCAACCAATCCAGGGAGAAGGACACAAAAATGCCCCCAGGATATGTCCCTAGTCTTAGACTAATAATTTAAGAGCTAGAAGGGCCCTTGGACATCATCTAATACTAAGGTTAAAAGCCAGCATTTGTCTGAGCAACTTCTTGGGCACCACATTATTCTAGTTTAGCATCACAACCCAACTGTCCTAGAAGATAGGTATTATTTCCTCCCTTTTCAGAGGGGGAAACTGAGGCTCAGAGCAATTAAGGGGAATTACCCAAGAAGGAAGGCATTGGTGAGACACACAGAACAGAGAAGACAAGCTGCAGTGAGCATGGCCAGCTCTGGCCGTGGGATGGGCGGCTGGCACAGGGCGGTCCACCCACGCCGGTCAGCTCAGGGATGCTCCAGCCCCTGGAGCCTTTGCAGCAGTGTTACCGCAGCCGATGAGGGACAGTGTCCCTGTGCAGGGAGGAGAGGAGGGGGTCCTCTGTACCCCTTTTTCACCACCAAACTCAGTAGTTTTGCTGTCTAGACCTAGCTATCCTTACACCCGAGGAATATTTAGTGTACACGACACAAACTATGGTGTGAAGGTTTAGGGTGAAGCGCAGCGGGATCCACGTTCTAATCCTGGCCCGCACACGTACTGGCTGTGTAGTCTCAGGCAAATTACTCACCATCTGTATCCGAGCCTAGTGCCTTCTGTGGAAGGGAATGACACCTACCCCACAGGGTGGTTTGTCCTGAGGATTGAATGAGGTTTTGTGTATAAAGTTTCACACCGATGCCCAGCGCCCTTCGAAGGTTCATTAGGAGGTAACTACTCTAGCTGCTATTTCTCCACTGTGGCCAAGCTCAGAATTGAGGCCTGTCCTCAAATAAGACGATTGTAGACGGATTTTGGCCTCATGCCAGCCACCTGCTAGGAAGTCCAGAAGCTGGGGCAATGTCAGCATTGGCACCCTGGTGACGCAGTTCCAGCTAGAGGACACGGGGTGGGGTGGTCTGAAAGGCCAGGGGTGTGGAGCTGAGCTGAGCGCCACCAGCAGAAAGGGCCCTCCCTCCCTGAGGCCGTTCTATAACCTGTATGGATTTCCATCATGACCCATGTGACACTTCAAGGCACTGCCTTCTCCATGGGACCATGAGCTCCTAAAGGGCAGGAGTGGAGCTGTAGTCCTCTCTGAACCCTCTGGCACGCAGTGATCAATAGATGTCTTTGACCAATAATGATCCATAGATGTTGGAAGAATAAGGCTGAACAGGCCCCATGAGAACCCAGGGGAGGAAGTGTGATCAAGAACTCAGACTTTGCAGACGTAGAGAATGGACTTGAGGACATGGGGAGGGGGAAGGGTAAGCTGGGACAAAGTGAGAGAGTGGCATGGAATATATACACTACCAAATGTAAAATAGATAGCTGGTGGGAAGCAGCCGCACAGCACAGGGAGATGAGCTCGGTGCTTTGTATCCACCTAGGGGGTGGGAGGGAGACGCAAGAGGGAGGAGATATGGGGATATAGGTATATGTAGAGCTGATTCACTTTGTTATAAAGCAGAAACTAACACACTATTGTAAAGCAATTATACTCCAATAAAGATGTTAAAAAAAACCCCAAAAAACTCAGACTTTGGGGGTGGCTAGGCCTGGATTTGAATTCTGTTTCTACAACTTATTAGCTGAGGGGGCCTCAGTTTCCTCATCTGTAATGTGATGATCCTAACTAGTACCTACCTCCTAGGGATGTGGGGCGGATTGAAGGAGGACGTGCAGGTAACGTGCTTTGCGTGGTGCCTGGCACGTAGTTAGGGCACAGCGCACATTAGCTGCTATTATCATCCACGGCACCACCACCGCTTCTGAAAGATGTCAGGAAGTGACGTTTGAATCAAGTCTTTAAAAGATTCGATGGTGAATACCACGCTGTCAAAGACACCTGGGTTCAAAGACACACAGAAGAATGAGGTGGTTTGAGAAGGGCGAGAAGGAAGACTGGCTGCAGCCTGGTGACGTATATAGGTGAGCTGTCAGGAAGAGGTCAACGAGATGGCCCAGCCAGGCCAAGCTGGGCAGGGCTTCACGTATCCTGATAAGGAGCATAGACTTTATTCTGAGGACAAGGGAAGGGCAGAAACTGGGCAGCTGTGTGATCAGATGCATATTTCAGAAGATGAGGGTTAGCAGGGAGGAGGTGCCAAGGAGGGAAGTAGGGGCCAGTGAGAGGTGGTCAGGGAAAGAATCACTGAGACAATGACATCTGAGTAAAGATGGGAAGGAAGCAGAGGAGTGAGCCAGATGGACAGCCGTGGGGAGAACAGTCTAGGCGGAGGGAACAGCTCGTGAAAAGGCCTAGAGGTGGGAGTGTGCCCGGCATGCTCTAGGAACAGGAAAGGGCCAGAATGGCTGGAGAGGAGCCAGCAAGGGGAGTCATGGGTTGGATAGGGTAGGGTCTTGTGGGTGATTGTAAAGACTTTGGATTTTACCTTGAATGAAACAGAAGCCACTGGAGGTTTAAAACAAAAGAGTGACGTGATGTGACTTTCATTTTAACCCTTGCTGCTATATGGAGAATGGATTGTGGGCACAAGGTTGGAAGCAGGGAGACCAGTTAGGAGACCTTAGGAATAATCCAAGTCATCACAGTATTCATTCATTCACTCAACAGATTTTTATTGTGCACCTACTATGTGCCAGGGACCATTGCGGGCAGGTTCTGGGGACATGGCTGAGAACAAGACAGAGCCTCTGATCCTTGAGACCCTCAGGGCCGTTCCCTCCTGGAGTCCAGGAATCTATTAGATGGTCCTGTGCTGCGCTGTTTTGCCGGAACCCTCAGGTGCCAGGGTGGGCTTCCCATCACGTCACAGATGGGCTGCTGAGGTCTAAGGAGGGGAAGGGGCTGCAGTACAGCCAGTCGGTGGCATGGCTGTGACTGGAATCCCACACCCCAGGTTCCCAGCCTACATCACATCCCCTATACTTAAGCCACCCCAGATAACTCCTGGTTCTTAAACTCGGTGAGCACCCGACTGCCCGCCCGCACTGCTCGGAATGGCTCCAGACTTCATGGCCTCTTTCTCCACCACAGGGAGGCCCCTTCTGGCCCCTCCCCAGAACGTGACGCTGCTCTCCTGGGACTTCAGTGTGTACCTGACGTGGCTCCCAGGACCTGGCAACCCCCAGAACATGACCTATTTTGTGGCCTATCAAAGGTGGAGGGGCGCCTCCGGGCTGGTGGGATGATAGGGGGAGACCGAGGAGGCGGGCAGGGGCTGGAGGGGCTTGGTTCTCTGTGTCCACGGGTGACGGTCTGCAGCAGGTATTGGGGGAGGGCGTTTGATAAAGCTCTGGAGGTGGGGATGATGCTTAATGGAGAACAGCGCCCAGGTGAAAGACCTGCCGGGGGTGGGGGCTGGTCTTTGAGAAAAGTCAGAGCAGAGCTTGGATGGAGCTGTGAGGACCCAGTGAGGGAATTCTTGAGGGCCTGGATGAGGTGCTTGGCATTCCAGCAGATAAGGGAGGCAGGTGTATCTCTTGCAGAGCCGTGTTAGGCATCGCTAGATGATTACCCTTTTCCCCACGGAGCCTGCACGGAGCCTTGGAGTCCTTCTCAACTTGGCAGCCCAGGCAGCCACTGCTGAGGCAGAGGAGTTTGCAAATGAAAGCTTTTTGCCATCTTTGCACATAGATGGAAATCATCTGAAGTTCTTTAGTAAGAGAGTAAGCTAATGAAAGCAGACACTCAGGAGGATTAATCTAGAATTGGTGAGAAGGAGGAAGCAGAAAGGAGAAGGAACTGCCACGTACTCAGGACCCACCCTGTGCCAGGCTGAGTGCTAGGAGCCTTGCATGAGCATTTCCCTTCTTCCTCCCAGTATCACCAGGCAGACCCTGCGTTTCCCCTGTTCTAGAGGCGAGGAAACAACTCAGGTGCTGTGACCTGCCCAAGGAAGCCAGTGATGGAACCAGAAGAAAAACCCAAGTCTGTCTGACCCCAAAGCTTGTGCTCTTCCTGTTCTATTACAGTCCCTCCATCTGTAGCATCCAGATGTGAGTGATGGGGGCCTGGCTTGGGAAAGGACAGACTGTGAGAGAGCTTTAAAAAGAAAGAATGGTATAGAACTGTATCAGGAGGCAGAAAATACCAATACCTAACATGGCCTGTGTGTTTGCTCTGTGTCTGCACTGTGTCCATACATGAAATGTATTTAATCTCACACCGCCCTACGAGGAAGGATTCAGTGACTCTGCTCTACAGTGGAGGTAACTGAAGTACTGAGAGTGTATTTTGCTCAAAGCCACACAGCTGGGCATAGCGGAGGTGGGATAAATTGATGAAAGAATTGAAAGCCTAACCTCTGGACCTGTATGATATTTTCCTTTCCTTTTACGCTTTTGAAACACCTGCGAGGATTCCAAAACCATGATATTCTAATGGTATTTTTTCATTTATTAGCTGGAATTAATTTTATAAAGAGATGCTTCCTCTCATGTAGTGTTTGATATTCAGTGGTACTATTCATGTAGGCAAGACAGAATAAATGCTTGAATTGTTTTCCTTTAATTTACCAGTTTTCAAGATAACGAACTGGTTCCCTATCATGTCCCAAAGGTGATTGACTTGTTTTTTTATTATCATTACGAACTCAAGTAGTTAAACATATGTGATGGTTTCAATTCATCGCAATTTATTCTACTCATTGAAGCTTGAATGGTCTCATCTTTAGTCCATGAATGTCTCTTCAGGTGGCTCCTGAGTCCTTTGAATCTGACCCTAGTAATTCATGATATCTTTATTGCTATCTGTTGCGAAAAGATGTTCCAGACTCATTTGCACAATTCCTGACCTAAAACCTGAAATCAGCCACGTCTCCATTTGGTAAGAAATGGTTTTAAAGAACACAGTCTGTGTAGCTGTCTGATCACTACTGAACTATTGCTCTGAGATATTTTCAGTGAACAGAATTAGGGTGATACACGTAATAATCCCATCTCTATCCCTGGCTTCTACTGAGGTGGCTGCTTAAATCCGTGAGTTGCACCCACGATCTCCTTATCAAATGATTTTCCAGCCACAACCTTGGTGTTCTCTCCGGAACACGCTTTCTCATTTTTTGCAATATGCATAGGCTGAGAATTTTCCAAATCTTCAATTTCTGGTTCCTTTTTGCTTAACAATTCCTTCTATCTCTCTCTCTCCTCTCTCATTTTACTATAAGCAGTAAGGAGAAACCAGGTCACATCTTCAACACTTTGCTTAGAAATCTCCTCAGCTAAGTGTCCAAGTTCATCACTTTCCACTTCTGATTTTCCATAAAACACTAGGACGTAATTCAGTCAAGTTCTTTGCCACTTTATAACAAGGATCAATTTTCTTCCAGTTTCCAGTAAGACATTCCTCCTTTCCAACTGGGATGACCCCAGAATCACCTTTAACATCTATATCCTGATGAACAGTCTTTTCAAGGCAATTTAGGCTTTTTCTCACATGAACCTCAAAACTCTTTCAGCCTCTGTTACCCAGCTGCAAAGCTACTAACACAATTTTAGATATTGGTTACATTAGCACCTCACTTATGGTACCAAAATCTGTGTTCATTTACTAGGGCTGCCATAACAAAATATCACAGACTGGGGGCTTAAACAAGAGAAGTTTTTCTCTCACAGTTCTGAAGGCTGGAAGTCCAAGATCAAGGTGTCAGTAGGTTTGCTCTCTCCTGAGGCCTCTCTCAGGAGATGGTCATCTTCTGTGTCCTCACCTGGCCTTTTCTCTGTGGGAGAACAGCCCTGGTGTCCCTTCTTCTTCTCATAAAGGCACTAGTCCTATTGGATAAGGGCCTCACCCTTAGGACCACATTTAATCTTAATTACCTCTTTAAAGGCTGCATCTCCAAATACAGTCACATGGGTGTTAGGGCTTCAACATATGAATTGGGTGGGGGATGTGTGTGCACAATTTAGTCAATAATGCTGATAAGCTGGATTTCACCAAATTTAAAATTTTGTTCTTTAAAAGAAAAAAAAAAGCCCAAAGAAAATGAAAAAGCCAGCCACTGAGAAAAATATATTCATAGTATAAACACTGACAAAGAACTTATATCCAAAATAAAGAACTCCTACATCTCAAAAATAAGAAGACAAATCACCCCCCAAATATTTGAATAGTCACTTCAGAAAAGAAGATATATAAATGGCCAATAAGCACATGAAAAGATGTTCAACATCATTAGTCATTAGGAAAGTACAAATTAAAGCTACAAGGAAATACTACTTCACACTCACTAGAATGGTTAAAGTTAAAAGGTCTGAAGATACTAAGCATAGACAAACATGTGGAGTAACTCTCATGGAGATGGCCCTCCATATTCCGGGGTTTTGCAGCCACAGATTCAACCAACCATGGATCAAAAATATTTTTTAAAAAAATCCAGGGGCTTCCCTGGTGGCGCAGTGGTTGAGAGTCCGCCTGCCGATGCAGGGGACACAGGTTCGTGCCCCGGTCCGGGAAGATCCCACGTGCCGCAGAGCAGCTGGGCCCGTGAGCCATGGCCGCTGGGCCTGCGCGTCCGGAGCCTGTGCTCCGCAACGGGGAAAGGCAAAAAAAGGGGGGGGCCGCCGAAATAAAAAAAAAAAAAAAAAAAAGATCCAGAAAGAAAAATAAATCCGTAAAGTGCCAAAAGCTAAACTTGAATTTGCCATACACTGGCAGCTATTTACATAGCATTTGCATTGTATTTACATATCATTTACATTGTATTAAGTATCATAAGTAATCTAGAGATGATTTAAAGTACATGGGAGGATGTGCATACATTATATGCACATACGAGACCATTTTATATAAGGGACCTTAACATCCACAGGTTTCTGTGTCTCCCAGGGGGCCTAGAACCAACCCCCTGTGGACACTGACTGTATATTGTTGATGGGAAATACAGTGGTACAATCACTTTGGAAAACAGCTTGACGGTTTCTTGTAAAGTTACACATTCAGTTACCGAGTTTCCCAGATTCTACTCCTAGATCTTTATGCATGAGACATGAAAACATATGTCCAAACAAAGACTTGTATACGAACTTTCATAGCGGCTTAATTCATAATTCCCTGCTATGGACTGAATTGTGTTCCCCCCCTTAGTCACTCATATGTTAAAGCCCTAACACCCATGTGACTGTATTTGGAGATGGGGCCTTTAAAGAGGTAATTAAGATTAAATGTGGTCCTAAGGGTGAGGCCCTAATCCAATAGAACTAGTGCCTTTATGAGAAGAGGGACAGCAGGGCTGCTCACACACAGAGAAAAGGCCAGGTGAGGACACAGAGAGAAGGTAACCATCTCCTGAGAGAGGTCTCAGGAGACAGCAAACCTGCACACACCTTGATCTTGGACTTCCAGCCTCCAGAACTGTGAGAGAGACATTTCTGTGGTTTAAGCTCCCAAGCCTGGCATTTTGTCACCGCAGCCCTGGCAGACTAACACATCAGGTTTCTTTCCTCCCGGTGTCCTAAGAAATGTTTGCTTGACTCAAGATCACGAAGATCCTCTTCTGTGCTTTCTTCTAGAAGTTTTCAAACTTTAGCATTTACATTTCAGTTCTCTTTTATTTTTATTTATTTATTTATTTGCGGTATGTGGGCCTCTCACTGTTGTGGCCTCTCCCATTGCAGAGCACAGGCTCCGGATGCGCAGGCTCAGCGGCCATGGCTCACGGGCCTAGCCGCTCCACGGCATGTGGGATCTTCCTGGACCGGGGCACGAACCCATGTCCCCTGCATCGGCAGGCGGACTCTCAACCACTGTGCCACCAGGGAAGCCCCCAGTTCTCTTTTATTTTTTGAAACTTTCTCTCTTTTCACTTTCTGTTTCTTTTAAGGCATTATCTGCTGTATTAATTTGCTCTTATTGTTCTTCTAATTTATTCTTCGTTTATGAAATGTGGTTGTTACTGTTTCTTATCTGACTCCTGTGTTCTGTTATCTCCTTTCTGAGTTTCTCTGATTCTGTTTTGTGTTGTTCTTCCATGTCTTATATCATTTTAAAATGTCTTTTATAATCCATTTTGAAGCAGTAGTTTACAGTTTCAATCTGTTCATAGATATGTTTTTAGCATGCGTTTTCTGACTCATTCAGTTGATCACTTAGCTTATTAATTTCTATCCTTCCTTATTTTCTGTTATAAATATTTAAAGCTATATGCTTAACTACATCTCATAAATTTTTATTTGTGTTATATTTTTGATCATTCAGTTTTAGAGATTTACTAACTTCCATCATAATTCTTTCTTTGATCCATGAGTCATTTTATTTTATTTTCCAATGTGTGATTTTTGAGTCTCCTGTCTTTTTGTTTGAAGTATAGTTGATTTACAATGATGTGTTAGTTTCAAGTGTACAGCACAGTGGTTCAGTTATATATACATATATATATATATTCCTTTTCAGATTCTTTTCCATTATAGGTTATTGCAAGATATTGAATATAGTTCTCTATGCTATACAGTAGGACCTTACTGTTTATCTATTTTGTATATGGTAGTATGTATATATTAATCCTAGACTCCTAATTTATCCCTCCCCAGTCCCCTTTCCCCTTTGGTAACCATAAATTTATTTTCTGTGCCTGTGAGTCTATTTCTGTTTTGTAAATAAGTTTGTATCATTTTTTTAAGATTCCACATATAAATGATATCATATGATATTTGTCTTTGTCTGACTTACTTCACTTAGTATGATCATCTCTAGGTCCATCCATGTTGCTGCAGATGACATTATTTCATTCTTTTTTATGGCTGAGTAGTATTCCCGTATATACGTATACACACACATACATACATACATACCACATCTTCTTTATCCATTCATCTGTTGATGGACATTAGGTTGCTTCCATGTCTTGGCTATTGTCAGTAGTGCTGCTATGAACACTGGGGTGCATGTATCTTTTCAAATTAGAGTTTTGGTCTTTTTCAGATATATGCCCAGGGGTGGGATTACTGGATCATATGGAACTCTATTTTTAGTTTTTTAAGGAACCTCCATACTGTTCTCCATAGTGGCTGCACCAATTTACATTCCTACCAACAGTATAGGAGGGTCCCCTTTTCTCCACACCCTCTCCAGCATTTATTATTTGTAGACTTTTTGATGATGGCCATTCTGACTGGTGTGAGATGATACCTTGTTGTAGTTTTGATTTGCATCTCTCGATAATTAGAGATGTTGAGCGTCTTTTCATGTGCCTGTTGACCATCTGTATGTCTTCTTTGGAGAAATGTCTATTTTGGTCTTCTGCCCATTTTTGATTGTGTCGTTTGTCTTTTTGATTGAGTTGTATAAGCTGTTTGTATATTTTGGAAATTAATCCCTTGTTGGTTGCATCATTTGCAAATATTTGATCCATGAGTCATTTTAAAACATTTTAAAATATTCAAACTTCCTTTAGTTCTCTTTTTGTTAATGATTTTTAACTGGATTATAGTTTGAGAGGAAATAGTTTGAGAGAAATAGTTTGAGAGATAGTTTGAGAGATACCTCAAATAGTTTGAAATAGTTTGAGAGATACCTATTCTTTGAAATTTGAGAGTTGCTTTATTTTTGTTAATATTTTTGATAATATTTTGTTTAGGGTTCGTATGTGGCTCAACCAGTTTCTTGTTTGTTCTGTATATGTTCATTAGACGAACTTTGATAATTATGTTGTTCATTTTTTTAACATATGTACTAATAATTTTTCTTTATTCAGCTGTTGATTACTGAGTGAGATATATTAAAATTTTCCCATTGTAATTGTGGATTTTCTTTTTCTTCCTGTAGTTTTATCTATTTTTGCTGAATATAGTTTGAAGCTATTTAATAGGCACATATAAGTTAGAATTTGTATATCTTCCTGGTAAGTGGAATCGTTCACTACTGTGTAGTGGTTCTTTTCACCTTTACTAACGCTTTGGACTTTGAAGTTTCTATTTTGTCTCATATTAATATGCCTACACCAGTTCCTTTTTTCGTTGATGTTTACCTAGTATAACTTCACCAAAAAACAAAACAGGGGAATTCTTCCCCCAGATCTGTTCTCTTTGCCTACCTGTATCTCAGCCTTTTCTGGTCACCTGTTGCTCAGTCTCCAAACCCAGGAAGAGTCCTCAATTCTCCTTTCCCTCACATTCCACATCAAATCCATGAGCAAGTCTCATCAGCTTTACCTCCAAAATGCATCCTACATCCAACCTTTTCTTGCCATCTCACCCACCATGCTCTCTTGGACCACTGCTGCAGCCTCCTAGCTAGTTTATCAGGGTGATATTTTAAAAACATAAATTAGATGACCTCAGTTCCTCTCTTCAGAACCTTCTGATAGCTTCCTCTGACACTTGGAATAAAATCCGAACCCCTTGCCAAGATGGCAAGACCCTGCCTGCTCTGCCCACCCCCCTCCACCCTCACGTCCAGTCTGTCCACCCTCTCCCGGCCTTGTCCACTGGGCTTTGGCCACCCTGGCCTTGTTTTTGTCTGGACAGATCAAGTCCCTTCCCATCGCAAGGCTTTTGCTTTTGCGTTTCCTTCCCCCAGGCCTTCTCTTGGCTCCCTTCTCAGCATCTCGGCCCCAGCTTCAGCACTGTCTTCCTGGCCTTTCCTGAGCCGCCTTCAGAGAGCAGTCACCCCCGCACTACCCTATGCCCACTGCATTTACCAGCTCCTGGATTTATCTTGTTGATGTGATGGTCTCTCATCCCCTCCCTCCAGAGTGTAAGTTCCTGAGGGCAGGACCTATCTGTCATGAATTGCCGATTGCCCAAGAATAATGCCCAGCACGCAGGTCCCTCCTTTGGACCTCGGTGTTCTCAGGAGGTCGTAGTCATGGACCTGTGTGTTCCACTCTGACATCCACATAGCGCCTGGCACCAGGCCTGGTACACGGCAGGGGGTCCATAAATGCCCGAATGAATAAACGTGGGGAAAATGGTTACTAGCACGACGACCCTGTGGGGGAGCCATGACAGATGGGGACACTGAGGCTTAGGGACAGTGACCTGCGTTAAGGTCCCAGAGCTAGTGAGGGGCAGAGCCAGGGTTCCCCCCGTTGTCTATCATTCCAGAGCCCAAGCTCTTGACTGGACTCTTGTCATTCTGTCTCAGCCGATGGCTGGCTGGCTGGACAGATGGATGGATGGATGATCAGGTGGGATGGAGGGACGAGTGATCACATGTTCTCTAAGTTTTCTCACCCCCAAGAGGCTGAATCCATGACCCACACCCTCCTGTCACCTCCCTCAGCTCTGCAACCCCCAAACAGTGGCGGAGAGTAAAAAAGTGCGCAGGAACCAAAGAGCTACAGTGCTCTCTGATGTGCCTGGAGAAACAAGACCTGTGCAATAAGTTCAAGGGGCGTGTGCGAGCAGTTTCTCCCAGAGCCAGGTCACCCTGGGTGGAGTCCAAGTCCATGGATTACTTTTTTGAAGGTAAGTGAAGGACCTGTGGGAGGCCGTCTGCTCAGGAGCCTGGCTCAGAGGCACTGCTATCCTGGCCATCTGTTTCCCCCTTCCCCAAAGCAGTGGGCAGCTCTCTGGGGCCACCTGCCACGGGCCCTGGCCCATGTCCAAGTAGCCTGACTTCGTGGCAGGGAGTTAGGGGAGTTCACCAGCCCCAGCAATTCAGTTTGTACCTCCTACTAATGAGGTTCATGATCTTCTTTTGAGCACAACCTTGGTCATGAACTACACAAGGCACTTTATATATTTATTCCTACTTTTTTAATGTTCAATCTCTCTCTTTAAGAAACGATTTTTAAACATTCTGGTTGCAATAGTAATTTCTGTACACGGTAGAAATTTAGGGGGGGGAAAGGAGATGAAAATAGAGAGGAAAACATTCCCCATGTTTACAGCCTTCATAAATCACCAGTGTTAACACTGAGTGAGGCGAGTGCTTTTTCCCCCAATGTATTTTATTTCTAATCCTCATTACAGACCTGTGGGGTTCATTCTCATCACCCCACTTTTTAAAAATAAATAAAGCAAGACTCACAGAAGTTAAGGAACTTGCCAGCTAGTAAGTGATGGACACGGGATGTGAAATGGTTCTTTCTGATCTGGGACAAGGTGCTCGATCAGGTCAGGAGTAAGGAGGGGAGGATAAATACTCAGACAATAGCCTCATGGAGCTGAGATCTGTAACTTACCACCCAGGCTTCTCAAAATGTTTGAGGACAAAATAGGGCTTGAAGGGGGATGAGGAAGGGATTTAATGAAGGATGGCAGGAGAAAATGGCAGAGAAGGAAGAAGAGATGATTTGGATGGGAGGAAGCTGGCTGGTTGGATGGACGAAGGGAGGAAAAGGATGGATGGGTAAGAAGAAAAGAAGTGTGGAGAGGATGGGGAAGAAGTGACGGATGAGTGGGAAGGAGGAGGCTAGATGGATGGGCAAATGCTTACCATGAAGGAGCCAGTATGGATGGAGAAGTGGAGGATAGGAACGAAAGGCAGACAGATGGATCAGTGGGTAGAGAGTACAGAAGGAAGGCTGGCTGCCTGGGAAGGGAAGGAAGGGTAAAAGGGAAGGAGAGACAAAGGAGAAAGGAAAAACAGGAAGAAAAGATGTATGGGAAGAAAAGAATGGATGGATAGGAAGGATGGAGGAGTAGAAAAGTAGGCTGATTGGCTAGATACAAGGAAGGAAGAAAGTATAAATGAACAGGAAGACAGGGTGGATAGGAAGGAAGAAATGTCAATTAGAAAGAAAGGAAGACAGGATGCTTAGGAAGAAGGAAGGATGGTTGAGAAGGATGCGTGGATGGGAAAGAAAAGAAGCATAGTTGGGAAGGATGGATGGATGGATAGAAAGGAAAAGAAAGATGGGAAGGCAGGCAGAAAGGCTGTCTGGCTAGAAGAATGATGGATGAACCACTGCAGAGGCTGGATGAATAGGAATAAGAATTAGAACAATAGAGGGAAAGATGCAGAAAGGAGGCTATTTTTTTTTTTGCCTCTTCCTCCCTGAATAATATTCTGATTCTCCTGCAGCACACCTCAAGCTTGAGTGACCCTTCCCTCCTATTTCTGCCCTCAGCTGTGGTGACCCTGGTCACTTTCTCTCTTGAGTTTTGGTAGTTTATTTCATTTCCCCCTAATTTGGTAGTTCATTTCATTTCCCCCTAATTTCTTCCAACTCCTTGAGGTCAAGATTTATGGAGGCCTCATCTCCCCACTCCCCTCAGCTCCCTGCCCAGGGCTTAATACATATCAGTGTCCCGTGGATATTTCCTGAACACATAAGTAGTGGCACCTTGTGGAAGCCACACATTTTCCCTGAGCACAAACACAGGACAGGGATGACCAGTGTGGCCAGAGCTCCTGCTGGCTGGTACTCAGGGAGGGCTGCATGGAAAAAGTGGCATTTCAGCTGGATCTTGAACAATGGTGTATTAATTTTCTCTTGTCACTTTATTTCAACTCACTGCCCCCACCATCTTCAAACCGTCAGTCAAACCTAGATGACCTTGAACAGACTGTCATTAGAAATGGACATTAAAGACTCTGCCAGTGAGAGCTCAGAAGCAAGCGAGGAGCATCATAGAGAAAATCTAAATCTCCTTCAAGAATTCTTAAATCATCACGAACAGACTGTTAGTAGAAGTATGGATACTAAAAGCACTGCCTCACAGAAGGAAGCGAGGAATATGTTATTGAAAATTTCAGGAAGGGGGAATGCCTCTTATATACTGGCAAAAAGATTAGCAAAATTGTGTCCTGTCGGTATGTGGAAAGCAGAACTTGTAAATGATGAATCTGGACATTTATCAAGGAGATTTGATAAATGTGTTGAAGGCATGACCTGGTTTATTCTTGGTAATCATAGCAAAATGCAAGGAGGAGAGAGAGAAATTGAGGAAAGAGCATAAACAAAAACGGACCAGGACTTGAAGATTTGGGAAATTCTTAACCTATACAGATGGCAAAAGATACTAAAGTTAAGAAATTGCTTCCAAGAGTGTAACATAGAGAAACAGCAAAGTGTGTGGTTGTGCAATCATTTACTAAAACCTCAGAAAAATCAAAGTGTTTAGTCAAGAAAAAGGCTCTTTGAAAAGATTTAAGGGTATGACACACAGTTCAGCTCCCCTCAGTCAAATCAAAGGGCCTCTAGAAAGCTGAAGTGTTATCCCTCAGCCAGCTCCGCTAAAGCCAAAAATAGAGAAGGGCTTATCTCAAAAAGATTTGTGGAACTGACTTCTGTCTAATGGAGTGGGTCCCCATGACATCCACAGGAGACCCATAAAATTCTTGAGAATTTTATATCAGCAGAAACACTGCCAGCTTGAACGGAAAGGGACAGAGAGGACAAGAAAAGAAAGAAGGCTACTGGTCCCCCAATTTCTACTGGAAGGAAGCAGACTGGTAAAACTACTTAGCTGCAAATACCTGCTACCTTTCATGAAAAGGAAGGATGATTCAGAGGGTGGAACCAAGAGCCCAGAGAGCAGTGCTGAAAGCCAAGGAGAAGTAGTTCCCAAGCCTTAAAACCTAGTACAGTTTGTGTAGCTGGATTTCAAAACTGCTTCAGCCCAGTGACTCCTTTTTACCTCCTATTTCTCCCTGTTTGAACCAAAATGTCTATAACTATTATCCAGCGCCTATCCCACCACCTTATATCGGGAGCAGATAACTTGTACTTTATTTTCACTGGTCCACAAATAGACAGGAATTGTGTCCCAGGAGTTGTACTGAATGGATTGTACCCAAAGTCTCACCTGAACCTGATTTAGATACTTTAGATGATGAGATTTTAGAACTTGAGTTGATGCTTTAAGGGGATGAGACCCTGGGGTACCTTGGGTTGGGGAGAATGTATGTTGCACTGGAGAGGGACATGATTTTCAAGGAGTCAGGGGGAGGACCATGATAGACAGAATGACTCCCCCAAAGATATTCATGCTCTAATCCCTGAACTTCTGAATGTGTTAGATGTTACTATTACATGGCAAAAGGGATTTTAATTAAGTTTATGGGTGTTAAAGTAGTGAGATTATCTTGGATTATCCAAATGGGCTCAGTCTAATCCCATGAACCCTTAAAAGCAGAGAACTTTCTCCAGCTGGAGGCAGAAGAGGTGTAGAAGAAGGGAAAATCAGAGAGAGTTGAGGTGTGAGAAGGATTCAACATGGTGTTTCTGCTTTGAAGATGAAGGGCCAACGTGATTAGAAATGCAGGTGCCAGGACTTCCCTGGCAGTCCAATAAAGACTCCGTGCTTCAACTGCAGGGGGTTTGGGTTCAATCCCTGGTCAGGGAACTAAGATCCCACATGCTGTGCAGCGTGGCCAAAATTTTAAAAAAAAAAAAAAAATGCAGGTGCCCTCAGGAGCTGAGAGAGGGTCCCAGCTAACAACAGCATAGAAATAAACCTCAGCCTCACAACCACAAGGAACTGAATTCTGCTGACAGCATGAATGAGCATGGAAGTGAATTCTCCCCCAAAATTCCAGATAAGAGCCCAGGCCAGCTGACATCTTGATTTCCACCCAGAGTTGAGGACCCCATCAAGCCCACCCAGACTCTGACCTACAGAACTGAGAGATAATAAATCTGTGTTGATTTAAGCCACTAAGCTCATGGTAATATGTTATGGCAGCAGCAAAAACTAATACAAATGAACAGGATGCTGACAGACCAGTGACATGTGAAGGGCACCCAAGTGGAAGGGATGACATGAGTAAAGGAAGGTTAACTGTCTCTGGGCTGGGTGAGGAACAGGCCTGCCTGGAGGCTGGGGGATGGATGCCCTGTGACCCCCAGAAGGTCCTGATGGGTCCTGTTCTGTTTCTGCCAGTGGAGCCAGCCCCACCTATCCTGGTATTCACCCGGACAGACGAGATCCTGAGTGTCAATGCCACATACCAGCTGCCCCACTGCATGCCCCAACCAGATCTGAGCTATGAGGTGTATTTCTGGAAGGAGGGGACCGGGAATGAGGTGAGAAACCCCTTTCATGCCCCCAGGCTGGGTCCCCTTCCTCATTCTCCCACCAAACCCCAGTGCTCTTCACCCTCCAAGCCCTGAAAGCCTCCTCCAGGAAGCCTTCCCTGCATACCCCTCACTCCTGGCAGTCACCCCTTGACTCTGCACAGTGTGAGTGGCCTGTGGCCCACCTCTGCCCCCCTCCCCCTAAGAGGCCAAGTTCAGGACATCCTTCCCCTGCACATTACAGGTAATAAACAGCAGTTTTCTACCTAATTTTTTTTAAATTATGAAACCTTTTTTTTTTTAATCTGACTGAAGTATGACAGGCTCCAAGAACCTACTTAGCCTACTTGTTAAGCCACCAGATTCATTAGAAAAAAAAACCTAGAAAATACAGATAAATTCTAGGAAGAAAACCAAAAGTACACAGAGATGATCGCAAATAACTATGTGGTGTATATCCAATTTCAGACTTGTTTCTGTGTATGCGTGTGCAAATGTCTGTATATATTTATTTATGGCAGGGGTTGGCAAACTTTTTCTGTAATTGGCCAGATAGTAAATACTTTTGGCTTTGCAGGCCTTATCGTCTGTCACATCTATTCAACTCCATCTGTAACACAAAAGGAGCCATAAGTAAATAGGTACATGAACAGGCATAGCTGTGTTCCAGGAAAACTCTATTTAAAACAAAAGATGGGGGTTTCCCCGGTGGCGCAGTGGTTGGGAGTCCGCCTGCCGATGCAGGGGACACGAGTTCGTGCCCCGGTCCGGGAAGATCCCACATGCCGTGGAGTGGCTGGGCCCGTGAGCCGTGGCTGCTGAGCCTGCGCGTCCGGAGCCTGTGCTCTGTGACGGGAGAGGCCGCGGCGGTGAGACGCCCACGTACCACAAAAAAAATAAATAAATAAAAAATAAAAAGATGGGGCTGTAGTCTACGGACCCCCATTCTTGTCCATTCTGTCTTTTACTGAACCAACGCTCACACTGCTAACCTCCTGCACACTCTGGATCCCAGAGATACATTGGTAGATCTTCATCCGATGTGGTCCTCACCTTCAAGAACCTCACAGATATTCTCAACCAGCACTGTCCAGTAGAAACATAATGCAAGCCACATCGTGTCATTTAAGTGTTCCACATTAAATTAAGTAAAAAGAAACAAGTGAATTTATTTTCATAGTAGGTTTTATTTCATCCAATAGAATGTTATCTTCTCAACATGTAGTTAATATAAAAATTACTGAGATGTTTTATGTTCTTTTTTCGTGAAAGCCAGTGTGTATTTTACACTTAGAGCACATCTCGGTTGGTACCAGCCACACTTCAAATGCTCAAGTGCCACCTGTGGCCAGTGGCTACTGTGTTAGACAGGCAGCCCTAGAGTTTTCTGTGTCTGTAATGGCTGAGTGACCACCGCCCCCGCCCTAATCGATTGACACGCCCTGAGGGCAGGAAGCCTAAGGCATCTGTCCCTGAAAGTGAGGGCCTGTGGGCCCTGGTGGGGTGTGCATGGGAGTGACCCTGAGTGGCAGGGCTGCTTTTGAACCCAGACCATCTCTACCTCGAAACTCCATGGAAGAGAAACCAGAGAGTGTTGGGACGTGCTCCCTGAGGCTTAAGCCTTAATGCAAGAAAAGGTGTAGGAGTCACAGCTGTGTCCTGCCAACCCCACCCTGTCCTGGCTGCATGGAGCCAGTGCCCCCCAGCAGGTCCACCCGCCTCTGCTTCTCTCTCCAAACAGGCCAGTTTTCCAGCCACTCCCCATGGCCAGCCAGTCCAGATTTCTCTCCAACCAGACACCAGTGGACACCACTGCCTCAGCGCCAGAACTATATACACCTTTGGCTCCCCTAAATACAGCAAGTTCTCTGAGCCCACCTGCTTCTTCCTGGAGGCCCCAGGTGTGTGCAAAGTGGTACAGAAGTGGGGACTTTTCCCCTGGGCGTTAGGATCTTCATAATATGGTGGTTAAGAGCACAAGTCTAGAGACAGACTCACCTCGATTAAAATCCCAGCTCCACCGCACTCACTTTATCTTTGGGCAGCTTACATAACCTCTCTGAACCTTGCTTTCCACACCTGTAGGATGGGTTTACTCTGATGAGGATTAAATAGGATAATGTACGTGAAGGCCCCAGCACAGATGCCGTTGATAGACAGGAGCCCCTGCTTCTCTAGTTGTCATTATGTTTTTCTTCCTAGGATCCAACTGGGCACTCCTGGTACTGCTACCCCTTCTGCTGCCAATGCTGTTGGTCGTTGCCACGGGGCCTGTGATCTGGAAGAGCTTCAGGGGGAACCCCTGGTTTCATCAGGCAAAGATGCCACAGGCCCTGGTATGGCAAATCTGGGGGTGTGCGACAGAGAGGGAGGGTTGTCGAAGATCAAGGAAGTGGAGCTAGACTTAGAGATAGTTCAGCTAGAATATCAAGATGGCCCAGACTGCGAAACATCTATCTTCCTGTCTAAATTTTCACCATTAGTAATTCATTCCTTTGGCACCAAATTAAAATAGCAAATATGCTTCAGGAGAGATGCCCAGAGGGGAGGCGGGAGGGTGGCACCTAAAGGGGACATCTTAAAAGGGTCCCAGCACTTCATTCACAATCTAACCGAGGGTCAGTCTTGCCCAGGCAGACGCTGGAATTTCCCCACCGGTCTGCCAGCTCACTTGCTTAGAACCTGGGGCCAGCTGGGACAGGGGAAGCCTGGAGAGGTCAGACTTGTTCAGATGAAGGCCTGGAAAGTGAGGCTGTGGTAGATGAGGCTCAGTGGGCACTCAGGTCCGGTGGGGGCTTTGAGGATGGATTCTGAGAGTCCCTGCCACACGGGAGTGTTTCAACGTTCCTGGATATGGGACCTGCAGGGAATTCCCACTAACTGAAGGACAACCTCTGTGTTAGATGGGTCTGTACCTTGCCCTATCCCTCTGCCTTCCCATTATGTGGTAAGTTACCAGCTCGACCTCCTGCAGCTGGCACCTGAAACCTGGAGGCTTTCTCTGGCCTCTGGTGTCCACTCTGCCCGTGCACATCACCAGCTGCATGTACCAGAGAATTCACACCGCCACCACCCCTCCATGCCTCACCCGATGGTGAGGCCTGTGTCCCCGGCAGGGCTAAGTTCCAGCTGCCCTCGGGGTAACTTGCCTGATAACACCCCGCTATGAGCTGCTAGGCCTTGCTGACACTTCCTGGGATCACTTCCCAAAGAAACCACTTACATTTGAATCCTTGTCTCGAGTCTATTTCCAGGGGAACCCAAATTAGAACAGTCACTCTTCCAGAAAGGCTGAATTTTCTGTTCTTCTCCCCCTTCCCCCAATCAGGACCTCTCTGGACACAGACACCCCGGGGCAACCTTTCAACCCAGTGGCCCAGAGTGCCTGCACGTCTTGATCCTCTCTCCCCAAAAGGAACGGACCAGAAGGGTCAGGCTGACCCCTGGAGTCAGGGCCCCAGCCGCCGTCCAGGCAGGATCAGAGGACAGTGATGAGGAGGAGAAGGGTGACGAGGAGAGCACGGACGATGGTGCCAGCTTCCAGCCCTACACTGAACCACCCCCCTTCCTGGGGCAGGAACACCAGAGCCCGGGGCATGCTGAGGCAGGAGGGCCTTGGACTCCTCTGGTCCGGGTCGAAGGCTCCTCTGCTTGCGATTCTTCAGACGGAAGCTGGGCCAGCACTGCGGGCTCCTCCCCCTGGGACGAGGCTGGATCATCTGGCTACTTGGCCAAGAAGAGGCCAGGCCGAGGACCGGGTGGGAAGGAGCTCCAGAAGCCTCTCCCACCACCCGAATTCTCCGAGGACTCGAGTTCCCTGGAAGAGCCCCCAGAAGACAACCCGTCCTCCTGGGTCAGCTGGGGCTTACCGTCACCAGGGCTGATTCCCAGGGAGCCCCCAGTTTCTCTTCAGACACTGACCTTCTGCTGGGACAGCAGCCCCGAGGAAGAAGAAGAGGGTGGGGGGGAATCAGAAGGTGAGGACAGCAGTGACGGCAGCTGCGGGGCTAAGAGCCTCCAGAGGATCGAGGTCAGAGGTAGGACACTGGGACACTACTTGGCCAGGTGAGCTGTCCCTCCCAGTCTGGTGCTACTGAGCTTTCTGGGGACCCAGCATGCCACCGAGACTTGAAATCCTGGGAGCATCATCGCTGGGGCAGCCGCGGGTTCTTACGGCACCTCAGGGAACCCGGCTAGAGGTGTCCGCCAGGTTGAGCAGTCAGAAGCCACCCCGTCCTATGACCTGCGAGCTTTGGGCCGAGAGCCAAGAGGGGTGGAGACAGGGATGGGCGGAGGTCAGAGGTTGATTGGGTGTCAGACCACCCCACTGTCCCTGGGGTGACAGGTCAGTTGGAAAAATCATCCCTGCACAACATGAAACAGGCAAGGTCAGGTCACAGGGGACATTGAAGGCTGACAGCACAAGGGCCCATCTGGATTTGGGGAGGGAAGAAATCTGGAGGCACACCAAGTGTAGCAGGACTCAACGCCTCTCTCCAGCACCCGCTGGGCTCCCTCCTCCCCGAGGCTCGGCATCCTGATTTATGAGTCCCCTAGGGTGGGCCCCAGTGAAGAAAAATCCAGTTGGCTGAGGGTGTTGGAGAGGAAGAGGAAAGGCATGGTCCTTCAAATCCCAGTCTCTGAGTCAGGCATTGCACAGTTTCCATTATCAAAGAGGCCTGGGTCCAAATCCCAGCTCTGCCATTTCCCAGTTGTGTGGCCTTAGGGGAGATACCTTCCTTCTCTGTACCCGAGTCTCCTTTCTACAGCTACCACCTGGGGCACAGTGAGGGTTCCGACAGAGACGTGTGATGCCTGCCACACCATTGGCACTCACCACGTGCTGGCTGGTAGGATTCTCCATCCACCCAGGCTCTGAGGGGACCGCTGGGCATCTCCCACCTGTGACCCTAAACTCAGAGTGACTGGAGTTCCCACCTTTAGTCTTTCTCCTGCCTCCTGCCCTTGCTGACCCCTGCCTCCTGGTCAGGAAACAGTTCTCAGAAGCTGGAGCCCATCCAAGGGTCCCTCTCCCTTTTCCCAGCAAAGAAAATACCAAATGGCCCACCTTCTAGGGGGTCTGATTAATTGGTGGTGGGGTAGCAACCCAGCAGGGAGTTGGACCCCTGGGCCCGTGATCCCCAACTTAGCACTTCAGACCCTTTAGGTGACCATTGTGGTTGTAAAGACGTCCCATTTCCTCTTCCAGTTTTGAGAAACCACTGTCTTCTGGAAACAGGTGACTGTCCTTACCTGAGGGTAGTGATGGATGTTCTCAAACAACCGCTTTATTAACCTACACCCACCAGTATATGGATGAGCAGAGCTGAGTCTTCACCCGTTAGACCAAGGTTTTGTCAGTTTTGTGGCCCTGCAGGGACCACAGGAATCAGAACAATCCTTGGCTCTGCCATTTCACCTGCCAGGACTTAAGTTCCTCCATTTGTGTCAAAAGCGTCTTCATAAGCATTTTATCCGCAGGGCTGTGTTGTTGTGTTTTTTTTTGTTTTTTGTTTTTGGCTGTGTTGTTTTGAAGCCAACGCAAAGGTAGAACATTAATGGAAGATCTGGAAAAGCAGCTCGAGGGCATCTGGTCCAGGGGTTCTCACACTGTGTTCCCAAAAGGCCTTGGGCTTCACAGGAGGCGTCTCAATCTCAGGGGGAGCCGTGGGCTGTAGGATCCCTGCAGTGCAACCAGAGCAGCCTCCCTGGGCCCTGATTTTCTCCAGTGGCCCTCCACGTAAGATTGTGCTTAGGAGTTTCAACTGCTAAAGAAAACGTTAGCAAACCCCTTTTTAAATTGAACACCTGTCTTTTGTTTCAAACAAGGAAGCTAAAATGTTGACTTACTGTGTACGTCTCTGAGGGTGACATTGTCGGTCTCTGGCCAGCTGGGCCAACCCCCGTCCCCTTGGCCATGTAAACAGTACTGAGGTCTCGGCAAGGGTTTCCAAGGGGCACGAGGCTGGCAGGAGGCCTTCACCACTGCTGGGACTCGCACACATACATGCATTTCTGCAGGGGTTTCCCTGCAATGAGGCTTGTCTACATCCATGATTGAGCACAGAAGAGGAAGAACAAACTGGAACCATGGAGCTGGGGAAGGCTGTGGCTCACGGCCAGTTCCTAGGAGAATACCCAGACCAAGCCCAGTGTCCTTTCTGGAACCAGCCGAGCTGCTTCGTGGAAGTAAATTCCAAATAACTAAAAGCTATCCTCACTATTGTCTTAGGATTGTGTGAAGGAACCCCTTTATCTCTGTTCTGAAAACTTGTGTGTTTTTGAAGCATTTTTTTAAAGTTTAATTTCTGACAGACGCTGAGCTTTCTATTAATTCTAAACTCCAGCTCCTTTATGGTCATTAAGTCATAAACAAAAAACTGGGCAGCTTTAGGAAAGAGCACGCTATTCAATATTATCATTTGTCAGGTGTGCCCAGCACTGAACTGTTTACAAAGCCCTTTCATGTCCCCAGCAGGCAGGAACTGCATAGTGGAAACTCCAGGGCCACGCATGAAAGATGTCAGGGGCAGAGCGGGTGATGCCTGCGTGAAAGCAACATTCCCATTCTTTAGGGTAGTGAGGAGATTATATATTGTTCTAAGATATTTGTAGTTATTTCTAATTTTATTTTATGTTTATGTCATATTTAGATAATTTCCTAATGTTTGTTGGGGCCTACCCTAAACTGTTTTAAATAAAGAGCTCTATTTTTAGAGAAAAGGGCAAAATTGAATGGAAAAGCGTGTGCTCTCATTTCTCAAAGTTTCCTCACCACTCTTCTCGCCGTTAAGACTACAGGGTCTTGGGTTGGGTGCCCAGCAGCAGACCCAGAGGCGAGGATTGTGGGGTATAAAGCAGTGCAGTGATTCCAGAAAGCATCAATAGGGGAGTGGGAAGAGAGGGAGGGGAGGCAGCCAGTCCAGATGCATAATCAAACAGGTCATGGCTCTGGGCAACTAGGGTTCAGTCCTCCTAGGGAGCTTTGGGAGTTCAGTGTTGGACCCTCCAGATTTGTTCCCCTGCCAGGGACAGGAGCTGGGAGGCTTATCCACCAACTCCCATCAGTCCTGTGTAGAGAGCCACTCCCTCCCAGGGAGCTGCAGGTACTTGCAGTTGGAATCCATCAAGCTGAGTACATGAGAAGGGTGCTACAACGAAGCCAGAGGTGTACCTACTACCTGGCAGCTCACCCTATTGCAACAATGGTCCATGGAAGGATACAGAAAATCCTATGTGGCAGCCTTGCAACCCAAACTCATTCCAGTTGATCTCTACTGGGGAGGGTCTCCCAGGTCCCACCAATTCTCCCAAAAGGTAACAGCTGAAGACCTAAAAAAAATAAAACAGCCTGTTATTTTACCAGCAAAACGGGTTTATTCAGGAACAGCAAAGAATTGCAATCTGGGACACGCAATCTATGGTGAACCACAGGCAAGTCCAGAGAACAAGGAGAGAAATGTTCCTTTATAGGGGAAAAGAGGTTAGTTGGGAGGGGCCATTATAAACACAGAGTCTATTGGAGGAAACTGGGAGTTTGAAGTGTACTGCTTTTCATTGGCTGAGTTACTACAGTCTCTTATTGGCTAGGCTGTTGCCAGGCAAAGAGAAATTCCTCCTCCTGCTGGGTAGTAAAATAGTAACCCTCCTCCTGTTGGAGATGCAAAGGTATGTCTCTTTCTGTTGAGTCTGCAATTGACAGCGAGAGCTTGAGAGTTCTCCCTTCAGTCCTCCCAACTCCATCTTAAATGAGGTTTCTGTTCATTTTCACACTGCCCAGAACTGTGCTTGCAGATTGTCATCATTTACTAATGCCAGGGCAGGCTCTAGACCCAAGATGAGCTAATCCAACAAGTCCCTTGCCCTGGCATTCAGATGTCTTCTTGGCTGCCTTGGCCTGGAACAAGTAAGTTCCAACCGGCTCTGACACTATTTCCCACTCCAAAGAACAGGAAAGCTCAGGGTACAAAGACGAGAATGGGACCTCCACATGAGCCTCCAGGATGAGAAATGGACTGGATCCAGTCCATTCCTGAGGCCCAGCTGCAGCCCTGTTCTCGGCTTCCCTGCATCCTAGTTTTTTGTTTTTGTTTGTTTTTTGTTTGTTTTTTTTTTGGCGGTACTTGGGCCTCTCACTGTTGTGGCCTCTCCCGTTGCAGAGCACAGGCTCCGGACGCACAGGCTCAGCGGCCATGGCTCACGGGCCCAGCCGCTCCATGGCATGTGGGATCTTCCCGGACCGGGGCACGTACTCGTGTCCCCTGCATCGGCAGGCGGACTCTCAACCACTGCGCCACCAGGGAAGCCCCCTGCATCCTAGTTTTAAGCCAACTTTCAGAGCCTTCTATTACTCATAACCAAATATCCTTGCCAATTCATATTTCATGCATATTGCAGCTTGTAGTCAGGTTGGGGCATCTGCCCCCTTGAATGGGTGTGCAGTAGGTCCTTTCCAGAAACCAGGGCAGAACTTCCTCTCCAGGTGATCCCCAAGGGCCTCCGTCCTGCCCGCCTCACCTTTTGAGCTCCTCTTTGCCTGTTTGCTGCCACCTTCTGGACAGTGGTGGGATGGCAGGGCTGCCAATTGCACAGGCTCTTACAAGCATGGTGCTCAGGGCCGCTGAGAATGGGCAGCGTTGGGGTAATGGATGCTACATCCTGAGAACTCCTTTAGGGAAGGGACTGTTTTCTTCCCGGTACCAGCATCTGGCACAGGGTGGAAACTTGATATTAAATAAGTGAACGAAGGAATGAATGAGTGAACTGGTATATGAATTAGAGTCAGTAAGGGGCTGGCTGTGGCTGACTTACATATAAAGCAGCCAGAGATCTTGCATTAGATTCTATCCCAGATCCCAGATCCTGTCACATGTGGATGACTGTCCTCCCTCAACCCAGCATCTGCTCCAAGGGGGTATCAGTGCTGTTCAGTGAGTGAAATGGTGAGGGAGGGGGCAGAAGTGGGAGACTCATTCCTGTGTGCACAAAATTAGGCTAAAGCAATGGGAGTTTGAGGGGGTTAAAAAAAACACTAGAAGTTATACTTTATCTAAATGAATGAGTCAGTTCCATGAATCAATTACTCAAGAGATACTGGTTGGCGCCAGGACCTATTCCAGCCCAGGGTACCCCACCCCTTGGCTTATGATGATATAGGATGCAGGCGTGTGACTGCAATTTATAAATTATCAGCAGTCTGTTTTTCCCCTTACTGCCTCTTTAAGTGGGTTAGGAGAAGAAGGTGGGGATCCCAAGGCAAGAACGCCTCAGAGTACACTCTCCTGGTGGGAAAAACCATCAGCAAGGGGTGGGAGGCCCCTCTCAAGGAGCCGATCCCTCCAGGGTGAATCCCATCCATTCTTGGGTGTTGCTAGACACATCCCACCCCACTCCAAGCCTTGGCTTCTCTGGACACTAAATGGATGTCGTGGAAGCCAGATTCCAACAGGGGCTCAGAATCCCCCACTCCAAATCCCATCTTTGAGTTCCAGGCCCTTTCATGGGATATGCCTCCTCTAAATAGCTCTAATCCAGCCTCAAAGCCTAAACTGCAGGATGCAATGCCCTTACTTCCCCCATCCTTGGAATTTGGCCTCAGAAACTACCACCAACTCAAACTTCTAAGGAGACATTTATGACCATAAATGAGGTTATGAGGTTATCTAGGGAACATCTACCACTGGTCACAGTTTCTCACTGAATACCCCCAGCAACCAAGAGCAGCCCATCCTAAAGGCAGCCACACCTTCGTAGGGAGAGCTATTTCCTTAAACCAAAAGAAATTTGCGGGACTTCCCTGACGGTCAAGTGGTTAAGACTTCACCTTCCAATGCAGGGGGTGCAGGTTTGATCCTTGGTTGGGGAGTTAGGTTCCCACATGCCTCGCAGCCAAAAAACCAAATCATAAAACAGAACCAGTATTGTAACAAATTCAATAAAGACTTTAAAAATGGTCCACATCAAAAAATCTTTGAAAAAAAGAAAAGAAAAGAAATTTGCCTCCTTAATATGTCCTCTTACTACCCACCCTGGTTTTCCTGTTTAGGGGTAGCTACACAAAAATGGGCTCAACCCTTCTCCACGCAGCAGCCCCTCCAATACTTGCAGACGGTGCTGGCGCCTCACATCGCCCCCGCCCAAGTCTCTTCTTTCCAGTCATAAATGTGAGCATAACTGAAGAAAAATATTGGACAAGGCCAAGTGCACAGCAGACCAGAGCTCTAGAAGGATTTTTTTAATATTTCTTTTATATTGGGATATAGTTAATTTACAATGCTGTGTTATTTTCAGGTGTACAGCAAAGTGATTTAGCTATACACATATCTATTCTTTTTCAGATTCCCCTCCCATACAGGTCACTACGGAGTATTGAATAGCATTCCCTGTGCTATACAGTAGGTCCCTGTTGATCATCTATTTTATATATAGTAGGGTGTATATGCCAGTCCCAACCTCCTAATTTATCCCTACCCCAACCTTTCCCCTTTTGTAACCATAAGTTTGTTTTCTAAGTCTGTGAGTCTGTTTTGTAAATAACATTATTTTTTTAGATTCCACGTATAAGTGACATCACATATTTGTCTTTGTCTGTCTGACTTACTTCACTTAGTATGATAATCTCTAGATCCATCCATGTTGCTGCAAATGGCATTAGTTCATTCATTTTTATAGCTGAGTAATATTCCATTGTATATATATACCACATCTTCTAGAAGGATTTTTTTGAGTGAATCTGTGGTGGGCTGGAGTTGTCACGAGCATCTTGCAGGAGGAGAAATCATCCCAGCTGGCTTTGAAGAAGAGGGACTCTGGCTGAGGGAGAAGAAATGGCATCCCCAGAGACGGGTCCAGCCCAGATAAAGGCACTTCTTCAGTCTGCTTGTCTTGTGTAGTCACCTTACTATTCCTTTGTATAAAATAATACATTTCCTGTAAGAACTTTAGAAAATGCAGATGAGCAAAGGAAGGAAAATAAAAATACCTTTAATTCTACTACCACCCAGAGATACTTCCATGAATATTTTCACATATATCCTTCAGACTTTTTTCTCTACGTGTGTATGTGTTTTAACGAGCCTGTACTGTACATTGTTTGTGCCATGCTTCTTAGTTCCCCGACCAGTTCCCTTAGCAGTGAAAGCGCGGGGTCCTAACGACTGCTGGACCGCCAGGGAATTCCCCATGCTTCTTTTCATTTAACAAACTATGGTGACTCTTTACCAGGCCACAAAACAGTTTTCTCCAGGGTTATTTTGAAGGCTGCATTCGCCTTGCATTGGATGGACTTACCATTATGCATTTAGCCAAACCCCTACTGTCAGACATGGATGCTGTTCTCTTTTACTTTTATTCATTTCACTATTAGAAATGATGTCTGGATGTTCCCAAGTTCTTTAATAATCCAGGTGTCAGGGGCTTCCCTGGTGACGCAGTGGTTAAGAATCCGTCTGCCAATGCAGGGGACACAGGTTCAAGCCCTGGTCCAGGAAGATCCCACATGCTGCGGAGCAACTAAGCCCGTGTGCCACAACTACCGAGCCTGCGTGCCACAACTACTGAAGCCCACGCGCCTAGAGCCTGTGCTCCAAAACAAGAGAAGCCACCGCAATGAGAAGCCCGCTCACTGCAACAAAGAGTAGCCCCCACTCGCCACAACAAGAGAAACCCCGTGCGCAGCAACGAAGACCCAATGCAGCCTAAATAAATAAATAAATAAAAATAATCCAGGTGTCTTCCTTGTCATTAATAGTCCCACAATCATAGTTCCTCATGACTATGGGGGGCCTAGTTCTTTCATAGGTTCCTTCCTCCAGGTGCTTCTGAGAGTCCCCAAGGAAGACCTCATGTTCCACAGACCCAGACAAGTTGGCTTGCAGCTTGTCCTCTCGGCCAGCCAGCCCAGCTTGCTCCAGCGACTGCACCTCTCCCGACGGGCCCTTCTTGGCATTTTGTAACCTCTTTCTCTGGCCATGATCTCCCCACACCCCTTTGTCCCAAAAGTCATCAAAGGCCCCCCATCCATCATAGTCCATTCAGGAACACAGAAACCCATTGAGTCTTTCAAACCAAGAGACTTTCACAAAGGGGAACTGGTTACCCAGGTGATGGAAGAGCTGAGAATCCAATCCTGGATGGGAAGCAGCCCAGAAAGTCACCACAGCTGGAAGCTGCTCTGTCCTTTGAGCTAAAGGGGAAAATAGGAGGAGATGTTGTTATCAGAGCCCAGGCCACCTGACGGAGAAATGGTGGCAGCTGCCTGGCTGGAGGCAGCTGCAGCTCCAGAGGAGACACAGCCATTGTAGGGGATGCCACTCCGAGCTGAGGAAGAAGGGGAGAAATACCCTGACTTCTCTCCTCCAGCTCCCTGGCCGTCCTCCAGTGCCTCCCATTGGCTGGACCTAACAGGAAACCATTGACAAAGGAGCCTGGGAAATGTAGTTTCCTGCAATTAATAGGAAAGGACTGGCACAATATCGTACCTTAATTCCCCCAAAGCACAGCTCAAATGTGGCCATGCTGCCTAACTTTGGCAAAGACTCAGAGATGACAGAAAACAATTACGACGCAGAAAAGAAAAACTTAAATACAGATCCCTGGATATCACGGCCTACTACATCCTAAAGCCAAGCCCTCTAGAGCCTCCCTTAGGGTGTGGCTGTCCTGCCAGAGGACTCAGCCTGCTGTTGTGTGGCTGGGGCCGGCCAGACTCTCCCCAGAGGCAGAGATCTCTGATCATGTCTACCCTAACCAGAGTCCAGGCCCCTTCAATCTTCTCTTGAGGCCCAGCAAGAAGAGGAAAATCATTTCCTAAACACCCATCCCAGTGGATTTCATGTTATCCCTGTAGATACACCTCCACATAGTGGAACAGCTTGGGTGAGCGGTTTGAACCTTCATTGTCACAAACCGAAGGCCCATTCCTGAATTTTGCCCCCATCTCTAGCACAGTAGTAAGAGTCACTGAAATCTCTGTTCCATTTTTTCCTAACGTTTTGCAGTTCCCAGACCCCAAAGGTTCAGTGTAGGAGTGCCTGGACTTCTCACCCCCAGCAGCCTCTCTAGGAGGAGTGCCATCCCCCTTGACCCTCAAGCATCCAGCATGGCAGACCTGCTTTAATACGCGGCATAAGCAGGGGCAGCAGACACCCTATATCTCCTCCTGCCAGAACGAGGCCGAGGAGTCTAGCTTTTCCTCTGCCACCAGGAACATTCCGGAACATATTTTCTGCTCCTTCATCTGCTCCAGTTGTTTTCCTCAGGGTGAATTCCTGAGGATGGAATCAGTGAGGCAAAAGGTATTTGTAAGTTGCAGGCTTCTGATACCCAGTGCCAAGCTGCTCTCTGATAAGGCTGTATGTCCTGGATTATTTTTACGTTTTCTGCCTCTCAGTTCCCTAATAAGGACTGAAGAATCTTGGGATGAATCAGCCACCAGACCAGATAAACAAGCCAGTCTGTCACTGTTGCTGTTTTCTGCTGCTAAGAAGGGAACTCCCTTGGATCCCGCCCAGAACCTGGAATTCCGAAGCAATGGGCCAGGTACCTTTGTACCCAGCTCCCCATGGCTCAGGTCCCACCTTCCCCTCCTTTCCCCGCCCTCATGCCTGGGTGGAGCCAGCTGCCAAGGCGCCAAAGCTTCCCAGCCCTCCCTCTGTGCTCAGTCCAGAGTGGAGACCAAAAGAGGGCTGTGTGCCGGGTCCCAATGAGGATGCTGCTGGTCATCCTGGCGGCGGGATCCCTAGTCGGTGAGTGCCGGTCACCCTGTGGTCAGACCTGACCCCCATCCAGGAGCCAATGATCAGAGTCGCCTCCCCCAGGACTGCATCCAGCCCCAGCACGACCAGTTTCAATTTCTTCTCTGCTGGGCTGACCTGGGTGCCGAGTTTCCCTGGAGAAGTAGATGCCAGCTCAGGTTACTGGGAAGGGTGAGAGGGTCCCTCAGACCCTGGGCTCTTCAGAGACTCAACTGACCCTCAAGACTCTGGGGATACAGCCACGTGTCTGAACTGGGGGTGTGGATCCCCACCCCCCCCACACTCCAGTGGTTGGAGAATTAGCTTAAGGGAGTTAGACATCCCTGGATCCCTCAAATCTTTCTGGTAGAAACTGTACCTCTGTTCCCCTGCTTCTGGCTGGCACTGGCCTCACATGGGGAGGTGAGGGGGCGTCAGGAAGGACAAAGCTTGAGTCCAGCCATTGCCTCCTTCCACGCCCCTGAGGGGGCCTCTTCCAGCCCCTCGTGCCAGACCTGAAAGAGCATTTTCTCCCAGAGGGCCCAGGTCTGCTGCATTAATAGGTCTTAAAAGACCAGAGCTCTTACGAAAACAGGACGGAAGGGCACAGTTTTCAAATCCAATAAAGTGGATTGTTTTGATGTATCATTATGGAGAACTTCCAGACCAATGCATGAGATCCTAGATTGTCTCTCTGCTCCCTGAGATGTTTAAAAAATTCAGGGAAATCTCTGAGGAAGTGAACGCATAGTCCTGACTGAAGAACGGAGAGGGCTGGCCTCTGCAAGACCCCTTCTACCTTAAGTGCAGGATGGAGGCCATAAAGGGCCACAGCTGTGCCCTGCAGGTGCTGACCAGGTCCACAGCGCTTCCAGCTGCCACCCGGGCTCTCCAGTCCGTCCTCCCCCTGGCATCAAACGGAACATTCACAGCACATTGGACTCATTGTGATCTAGGGAGACTTGATGCATCTCCCAAGAGACCTCAGACATGCCCTTCCAGACACTCGCCCATTCCGGTTGGAAGACTTAGAGGCTCTTGGCCCTTTACAATGGGGGACACAGGGGAAGCAGCCCTTAGGAGGTTGTTAGGAGTCAGTAAGGTCACTCTAGAGCCCCAGGTGCCTTCACCCCCGGCATTCTTAGGCTGATTCCAGAACATGTTTGAACTGATTTTGTTTGTTTGTTTGTCCTTAGCTTCCCAACTAGTTGACATAGACTTGTTTTTTTAAGCGAATGAGAAAACTTCTTTTGATCACATCTCCCAGGCTGTCAGTTTCTAGACAATACATATCTCCCCACGATTTCACAATGTAGACTTTCACCCAGGAAGTACAGAACCAACGTGGGCTGAGGAACCGGTGATGGATTTGAGGAGGAAAAGGAATGAGTGGGCAAGAGGAGACAGAAGATCTTGTTAGCCCTCAACACCTCCTCAAAGAGAGGGGCCAGCCAAGGTCCACCCACACGACTTCAGGAAGCCAACTTGAGTTCCCTCCTGAAAAGTGGTGCCAACCTCCACCCAACCTGGGCCCTTCACCACCCGAGCATGTCCCAACCTCAGCCACTTACCTCCTCCAAACCCACATGCCCCCCCAGGATACTGACCCTAACCAGCAACCCTCCCACTGCAGACCCTAGCCAAGCCCACCCCCAGACACACCCTGGCCTTCTCTCAAATCCCACCCTCTCTCTTGCCTGCCCTTGACCTCACCACCTCGCCCAAAGCCACCATTGAGCTCGGACTTCAAGTGCACTCCCTCCCTCAACTTAAGACCCAGCCCTGAACCCATGCCTCTCCCTCCAGAACAGACCCCAATTCTGCCCGGACTCGGGTCCAAACAAGGTACCAGCCACAACTTGAGTCTCGGCAGCACGTCCATCACATTGGCTAGAGGCAGAAGGAACCCCCTGGTGCCCTAGGCCCCTTTCTGGGGGCTCCAGGAAGCCTGGAACACAAAGAGTTCTGCAGCTGCTGGGCCTGGTCAACCCAGATTGAAAGAGGAATGTGGCCTTAGGTTTAACATGTGGATGCACAGCAGGGTTGGACTGTCCTAATATACTTCCCCTTCCCCACAAATGCCTCCCTTACAGAAATACTGTATGTAGACTTGGGGTGGAGGGGTGAATAACCCTCCACTCCCTCACACTCTGGACCTGCTGGTGCACACGATCACGGGGGAGTGGGGGAAGGGAGGTACACACACATCATACCAAAGACACGTGTACCCTCAGACCTCAAGGCCTTGACTCAACCGGATCTGCACCTGTTTATTTCCCACCCCAGTCAACCTCTGAGCACGCGCAGAGCCAGCTGCCGACTCTGGCTGCCATTTTCGTGCGCTCTCTTCCTTTCCAGAGATCGAGCTAGGAGGGCTGAGACAAGAGATTTGTAAATCAAGGGCTCTCATTTACAGTGAAGATTGCTTCGGGGGCAGTGCCCCCTCCCGGCTCTTCTTCTTGGGGCTCTGGCCTTTGCTGCCCCTTCCTTGCCCCATTGTATCCACCCCACAAGCAGCCTAACACTGTGATGGGCATTGCAGGCCGCCTCTCTGAGCCTCAGTTTTTCTCATCCATTAAATGGGCATAATGATAGTACCTGCCTCATCAGGTTGTCAGGAGGATTTGATAAGGAGACTTAGCCCAGTGCCCGGCACTTTACGTGCATTTCAGACATGTCAGCTGCTGCTGTGGTCATTATTGTTTATCTTTAGGTAAGTCCAATTATTCCCATTTTAAAGCTGAAGAAATTGAAGTTCTAGCTGCTTAAACAGCTTCCCCAAGGTCATGCTGCCCATATGTAGCCTCAGTCAGAATCCACCTCCTACGAAATCCGTGTGGCTGGGGAAGGTGCCTTTGCCCTCCTCAGAAGGAATGTGGAGGGTGGGCAGGGATTGATTCAAGCAGCGGAGAGGCAGGAATTCACAGACATCACAGACATCTTCTCCACCGTTGTCTGAAATTACTGACTCTGGGCAAGTTACTTCTTCGACAGTCAACATTTAGTTGAATACCTCTAAAATATTCCATTGGATGGGCTTCCCTGGTGGCGCAGTGGTTGAGAGTCCACCTGCTGATGCAGGGGACACGGGTTCGTGCCCCGGTCCGGGAAGATCCCACATGCCGCGGAGCGGCTGGGCCTGTGGGCCATGGTCGCTGAGCCTGTGCGTCCGGAGCCTGTGTCCCGCAACGGGAGAGGCCACAGCAGTGAGAGGCCCGCGTATCGCCAAAAAAAAAAAAATATTCCATTGGTGAGGACGCTAACTTCAGACGGTGTTGAGAAAGGAATGAACACAACAGCACGTGTTGGCAAGGATATGGAATCATTGCACCACTTAAACTTTGCTCATGGGAATAGGAGATGGTGCAGCCACCACTTTGGAAAACAGTTTGGCAGGTCTTCAAAAAGTTCAGCATAGGATCACCGTACGACCCAGAAATTCCACTCCTAGCTGTATACCCAGGAGAACTGAAAACATGTGTCCACTTAAAAACTTGTGCACAAATGTTCACAGCAGCATTATTCAAAATAGCCAAAAAGTGAAAACAACCCAAATGTCCATCAACTGATGAGAAGATAAACAGAATGTGGTCTATCCACACAGTGGAATGTGATTCAGCCATAGAAGGAAATAAGTACCAATTCATGCTGTAGTATGGATGAGCCTTGAAAACATGATGTTCAGTGAAAGAAGCCAGACACAAAAGGCCACATACTGGATGCCTCTATTTACAGGAAATGTCCAAACAGGCAAATCCATCGAGGAAGCAGATTATTGGCTGCTGAGGCTGGGAGGAGGGGAGGGATGGGAGTACTGTTCATGAATACAAGGTTTCTTTGTGGGCGATGAACACATCCTGGGACTAGATTAGCCGTAACAGTTGCACAATTTTGTGAATATATTAGGAAACCACAGAATTGTATGCTCTAAAGTGGCGCATTTCATGGAATGAGAATCATAGCTCAGTACCAAGGAAAAAAGAAGTGAAGGGGAGCGGGGCTGGTCAGTTAGCACATTCTCCTCTGAGTGAGTGCTGGCTCGCCCCTTAGGGGGAGTAGCTTGCTACAGGGCTGGGGCAGAGTCTTTGTGCCCTTCTGCTCACCCTTCTCTCACTTCCTGCAGCTCACTTCGCTGAGGACACCTCAGATCTTCTTCAGCACGTGAAATTCCAGTCCAGCAACTTCGAAAACATCCTGACGTGGGACAGCAGGCCGGAGAGTGCCCCAGACACCGTCTACAGTGTGCAGTATAAGACGTAGGCGTCCCTCCAACACAAGCCCTTTTGACTCTGCTCTGGAACCAACCCCTCCAAGAAAACCCTTCCTTCTTCCTATGTCCCCACGCCCCCCGCCCGGACTGGTGTCACACAGCGACCCTCCCCCAGACATAGCTTTGCTCCTTTATGTTTCTTCTGCAGGGGGAGGTTAGGATAATGGTTACAAGTACGGGCTCTGAGGGCAGACACCAGCTCTCTCCCTATAACTCCGGGCAGTTGGGTAACCTCACCAACCCTCCATTTCCTCATCCATGAAGTAAAGTTAGCAATAGTACCTTCCTCATAGGGTTGTTAGGTGGGTTCCATGAGACATTCATCAGCATGTGTGCCTGGCAAACAACAAGCTCCCAATCATTGCTTTATACTGGGTTAGACTGGGTCAACGAAAAGTCGTGCCCACCCCCTCCCGGGCCCCCACCCCGCCCCGTTCCCGCTCATCTCCTCTCCCAGGCAGGAGAGGAGGGTACATGGGCTCAGGAGTCTGCAAACCTGGGTTCCATTCCTGGTCCTGCCACTTCATCCTGTGGCAAGGCACTTGCCCTCTGCGAGGCCCAGGTCCCTCATCTGTCGATGGGGCTAACAGTGCACAGAAGGTGAACTCAGGCTGGCTGGGTTCACATCCTGGTTCCCTGCATGCATGCCTCAAACACCTGGGCAAATTTTACTTCCTTAACCCCCAGCTCCCCTACTTGAAAAGGAGGGAGAATAATGCATGAACCTCACAGCTCCGTAGTGAGGATCACCCGCATAAAGGGTCTGGGTACACGTGCTAAGTAAATATTCAATATCGTTATCATTATTAATAAACGACAGGCTTGGTTCCAAGCCTGTTCATGAAAGGTGTGCTCTGGCACTTCCCTTGCCCACAGTTATGGAGAGACAGAGTGGCAGGCAAAGGAGGGCTGCCAGCGGATCACCCGGAAATCCTGCAACCTTACCATGGAGACAGGCAACCTTACGGATTTCTACTACGCCCGGGTCACTGCCATCGACGCAGGAGGCCAGTCCGCCACTAAGATGACCGACCGGTTCAGCTCACTGCAGCACAGTGAGTGCCAGCCCCTCATTGCAACGGGTGTGGGACGGGAAAAGGATGGCCTCTTAAGGGCCCAGATGGGCTCTGCCTCCCAGGGCCAGTTAGGGATGTGGCTTTTTAGGGAAGGCGCCCTCAACTGGACAGCATCCCCAGTGTGGTCTTTCATCTTTCTCCATCTCCATCCCCACCTCCCTAGCTCAGACCACCTTAATCTTGCCACTTGAGTGCAACCAAGGCCCCCCTAACTCGGTCCTCCTACTCCTGCCTTGACTCTTTTCCGATCCAACTTGGTCTTGGTCTCGGCTTCTTTACCTCCTACGTGAGCATCCCCACCGCCAGCCTCAACAACCCCGTTTCACTAGGTCATCGTCTGCTATTCTCCGTCACCATGGACTGTTCGCTGGCTTCAGAGCTCAGATCACGATCTGCAGTGAGCTCCACGAGGGCGTGTGTGGCAGCGGAGCCCCCTGTGTTCCCAGCCCTTAGCATAGCACCTGGCACGTATGAGATGCTCAATACGTAGTTGATGAAGGATTGAGTGGATGGATGAATGGATGGATGGATGAGTTGCCAAACTCCTCACACATGTTAAGTAGGTGATGTTCACTAACTGATTTAAAAGCCACAGGGTTTCTTAAGAAAATAAAAAATAAAGTTAAACAAGTTATTTTATATTGTTTCTTGGCTTGTTCAGTTAATGCATACTTATTGTAGATAATTTGGAAAATATAGAAATACACAAAGAAAAATAAAAGTAGGCCCAACTAATCTGAACACTTAAACATAACCACAGCTACTAGCAACTGTATCTACTCTTTTGTGATCTGGTTGGTTGGTTAGTTGTTTTTTATATGATGGTATCGTGAACATTTGCCCATGTCATTAAATATTTCGCCACAACACGATATTTCACGGCTGCAAACATGATCCATTCTATGGAGGTACTCTAATTGACTTCCCTAATTCCTTTTTGGAGGACCCTTAACTCAGTTTTATAAACAACGCTGAAACGAACATTCTTCTAGCTCAGATCTTTTTAATCCTGGAGGTCAATGGAGTCTTGGGGACTTTCTATAAATTAGTTTCGGGGGAGTGAGGTTCATGAAACCCTGAAACTGAGTGCAAGATTTTTGCATATGTACACTTTGGGGGAGAAAAGAGCCATAGCATTCAAACCATAGCATTCAAATTCCCAAAGGGGTCTATAAACCAGACAAGGTCGTTTGGTTATTTGGAAATTCCATCTTGAGAGAGGTTGAAGTTTAGGCCTGGCCTTTGAGGCTAAAACAGTAATATTGGGCACTGCAAACATTGTTTGGATATGTAGTTGAACCATCAGTCCCCAAAGCTGTCATTGCCAGTAGACTAGGGGGCAGGTGCTCCTGGAAGACTCAGGTAGGGATGTGTGGAGACTGGGACAAGGGTATGATCAGCCTCGGGGTCCAGGGCCCCTCTCCCTGGGCTCTTCCTACTCACCCTTGGTCACTGGTGTTTGTTTACACCCAAACACCAGTTGCTTCTTTTCTCACCTGTTCATTTAGCTGATGCTTTCAGAAGCATGGCTGGGGTTGGGGTGGGAGGGGGTGGAAAGCAGTCATTTCCCAAGGTCCAAGGCAGCCTCTCAGACACTCCTGGTTGATTCTAACTTTTCATTTCTTTTTTTTCTCTCCCTTTTTCCAGCTATCATCAAACCACCTGATGTGACTTGTATCCCCAAGGTGAGATCCATCCAGTTGATTGTCCATCCCACCTACACGCCCATCCACACAGGGAATGGCCACCGGCTAACCCTGGAGGACATCTTCCAGGACCTGTTCTATCACTTAGATCTGCACATCAACCACACCTACCAAATGGTAAATGAAGGGTAAATATATGTGCCACCTTGGTCCTTCCCTGTCTCAGAAACCCATTTCCCTCTCTGCATTGCTTCAAGTAGAAAGGAGATGTGTTCTATAAATCAGCATTTCCCAAAACATGTCTACAGCCTACCTCTTGTAGATTCACACACACAATAGCATGCTAAAGCCTCTGACAAGTACTGCAAAGTCAAGACTCCAGTTTCAATTTGCTTAATACAACTTCTCTCGCATGTATTTGATCAGAGAAACTCCTTTTATTTTGCATTACATGTATTTTTTTCTTGCCTAATGCCTTCTAACATCCAGGGGAACAACTTCTATTAACATCCTCAGGTGTCCACTTTGGAAAATGCTGGAATCAATTTCTACTGCTGCAGTTCTTTCTGCTGGTTCTCCACTTTCCGTGGGAACTGGATACAGACAGTGTCTTAAGATCAGTAATACTGAAAGGTGGAAGGCAAAGGCATAAATTGTCAAATGTTATACATTTCTTTTTGCATTCAAAAAATAAAATATGTAGTGTTTCCCCCGGCAGTGTGTGCCACTAATTCATAATTACATTGAATGACTATTCCTGCACTCAAGGAGCTTATAATCTAATGGGTGGGGAGAGAGTTAAAACAAGAATTCAAATTCATACAGCTATAGGTAGAGGGAAATAAGAGTGTTGTGTGGGACAGAATGGAGGCTGGGAGGGGAGAGAGGAGGTGTCAGCTCAGAGAGATATGGAAAGACCTCTAGAACAGAAAACTTTCTGGTGCTGATATCAATTTCTGAGGTGTACCAGGTAATATGTGCTTATTGTGTCATTTAAGCTTCGTCACAAAACCTATGAGGTAGTTGCTCTTATCTCCATTTTCTGAATGAGAAAACAGAGGTTCAGAGAGGTTAAGTCACTTCCTCAAGATTGTTCAGCAAATAATAGCATAGTCAAGATTCAAATCCAGCTTTGTTCCAAGCCCACATTCCTCCCCTCCCTGCTCCGCGGCCTACACTGTCCCACAGTGATCAGAGAGAGAAGCAGGAACGCTTAGGATATTGTTGGAAAGCACAAAACTGCCCATTTGGGCTGAAGCGTAGGGACATGTAGAATAGTTTCTCAAAACATGGTCCCAAACCAATGGCATCAGAATCTCCTGCAGCCTTTGTTTAAAATGCAGGTTCTTGGGGACTTCCCTGGCAGTCCAGTGGTTAAGACTTCGCCTTCCAATGCAGGGGGTGCGAGTTCGATTCCTGGTTGGGGAGCTAAGATCCCACATGCCTCACGGCCAAAAAACAAACAAACAAAAAACAAACAAACAAAAAACCCATAAAATGCAGGTTCTTGGGCCCCCTTATAATCCGCTTCATCAAACTCTAGCGTTGCACCCCTGGGATCTGAATTTTAGTGAGCAACCCAGTGCTTCTTACTCACTCTGAAGTTTGAGAAACACTGGTGGAGAGGAACAATGCTAACCCTGAGAAGACAGGCTGGGACCAAGCCGTAGAGGTCGGGAGGGCAGATGGGGGAATCTTTATTTATTTCAGTAGTCGGGGAGCGATTAGAGATTACAGAGCAGGGAGAGTCTTTATCACAACTAATTTTTGGCAAATATTTGGCATTTGAATATTTTATTGTTATTGATTTATAACTTAATTCAGTTTGTGATCAGAGGACATATTCTGTATGATTTCAGTCCTTTACGGAGACTTGTTTTATGGCCCAGCATATGGGCTATCTTGGTGAACGTTCCACGTGCACTTGAAAAGAATATGTATTTTGCGGGTGTTTGGTGGAGTGCTCTATAAATATCAATGAGATAAAGGTGGCTAATAGTATTATTCATATCTTCTCTGTCTTTCCTGATTTGGGGGAGGTCTATTATTCTCTTAATTGCTGACAGTATTACAATCTCCAGCTTTGATTGTGGATTTGTCTGTTTTCCCTTTTAATTCTGTGCATATCTGAAGCTTTATTATCAGACACATACACATTTATGATTGTTATCGCCTCCTGGTGAATTGACCCTTTTATCATTATGAAATGTCCCTTTTTATCACTACTAATACTTTTTTTATTGAACTCTACCTTATCTGCTGTTAATATAGTTACTCTAGCCTTCTTATATTTATAATTTTCATTGTATATCTTTTTACATCCATTTTCAACCTACCTGTGCCTTTATATTTAAAGTGTATCTCTTGTAGACAGCATTCTGACAGTCTTTCCCTTTTTAAAATTTGAGATATAATTCACATACCACAAACTTCACCCCTTTAAAGTGTAGGATTCAGTGGTTTTTAGTATATTGAAGAAGTTGTCCAACCGTCACCACTATTTAATTCTCTGTATTCTATTTTCAAGTTCTCTGACTCTTCTGTCATCTCCAATCTGTTGTTAAAACCATTCAGTGGGAATTTTTACTTTAGATATTGTATTTTTCAGTTCTAAATTCTCTAATTTTTATAGTTTCTAGTTTTTATAGTCTCTAGTATTTATAGTTTATGCTACTGAAAATTCCTAGTCATTCTGTCATTATGAGCACGTTTTCCTTCACTTCCTGGGCATAGTTATACTAGCCACTTTAACACTGTCTGATAATTCAAACATTTTGGTCATCTTGGGATAGGTCACCATTAACTATCTTTTCTCCTGAATATGGATTACATTTTCTCTTTCTCTACATGTCTAAAAATTTTGGAAGGCATCCTGGACATTGTGAATGATATGTTGAAAGGACTCTGGATTCTGTTATATTCCTCCAAAGAGTATTGATTTTTGTTTGTTTCTTTGTCTTAGTAGGCAGTGAATTTGGCTGAACTTCAAACTCCAAAATCTCAGTTCAGTAAAGTTCAGTTGAAACTTTAGCTGGGCTGCTTGGAGTCTACCCTGCTCATGCATACTTTAGGCACCAGCCAGGGATTTGGGCAAAGTTTATACACAGAATTCAGGCTCTCTCTCTATGAACCTCTCCTATCTGTGATTTCTCCCTCACTTTCCAACTTTTGTGATTGCCCTGAACTCTGTCTTCTGGTTACTCAAGCCAGTAAGATTACAGGGTTTTTAATCTACGTTTCACCCACTCCACATGGTATAAATGGGGACCTGCCTCCAGGCTACAGGACATTAAAAAAGAGAGAGAAACTCATTCAGTGCCATTCCCTTCCTCCTTTCTCTGGTATCTGCCTGCTTTTACTTACTTTCCAATGCCTATAGGTAGTTTTTATTTTGGCCAGAGTTTATAGCTGTTATTTTATGGAAGGTTGGTCCAATAGAAGCTATAAATTACTGGGAGCAGGAAGAGGAGAGATCAAATGTAAAAATGAAAGAGTGATCAGGGTGGGAAGTCAGGGGGGCTATTGCAATGGTACTAGGCTGGAAACGAGAAGGGCCTGAACCAGGGGGGCGGCAGTGGACACCCGGGGAAGGAGGACTCTTGGGGCCTTGACAACTCTACTGGGGTTAATTTCAACCATATAAGTTCCACAAAACAATAAGCTGTTAAATCCATTCATGCACTTCTTCACCCACTTTCACCCCCTTCAAAAGAAAAAACAACAAATAACCCTAAACCTTGGCTGCCATGTGCCTGGAAAAGAGAAGGCATAGCTGAAACGCAAAGGACCAAAAAGAAAATTCTTAGCTTTTAAGCTCCCAAGAACATAGCTCCTGGCCCTTTAAAGAAAAGTTTATGGATTATTTCAGGGTAATCAGATACAAAGGATTTGAGAGGGATTTGTCAAGAATGGTTTTAAGGTTTGAGACTTGGACATTAGAACAAGAGAGACATTATGAACAGAATTAGGGAATCAAACACAGGTGCGGGTTTGGGGTTGGAGATGGGGCAGGACCCAGAGAGAGGAGATCAGGATGTTTGGACATGTCAAGTTAGAGATGCCCACAGACTGCTGTCCAGCAGGACGCTGGCGGTGTGTGCCAGGAACTCCATAGCTCTTACTGAGGTCAGTTTGGGGGTTATCCGCACATTGGTGATCACCAGAGCCACAGGTCCAGAAAAGATCACTAAGTGAGAAAATATGTGGAAAGAGAAGAAAGAACGGGTGAAGAGTGAAACTTGCAGAACAACACCGAGGGGCTGAAACCAGTAAAAGAACAATCAGAGAGGTAGGAGGAGAACCAGAATGATGGAATGAGGCAGCCGAGAGAAGAGTTCAAGGTCAGAGAGGTTCGAGACATACAAGAGGGCAAGAACTGAGAAGAAGCTCTAGCGGAGGGATGGGCAGATGCAAAGGAGCAAGGGCTTACTTCAGAAGCAGAGTGTTTGCAGGAGCGACGGGCATTCAACATCACCAGAGCCTAAAGGACCAAGCGGGCTCTAGGGAGGGAAGAGTGTACAAAGGGAGCAAGGACCTGTAATATGACCTGGGCCATCAAAGGATTTTCAACAGAGGAGCTTTGTAATTATGTTAATTGTTTAGAAAGATCACTGTGGCGCCAGGATAAATTTGGAAGTAGACAGGGACAAAACCAGAGACTGGTGACCAGTAAGGAGGCCACTGCAAGAGTCCAGGCCAAAGATATTGAGGCCCAGTTAAGGCAGAAGCAATGAGGAGACAAGAGAGGGATGGATATTCAAAGCGTTTTTGATATTTTATTTTTAAAAAGGGGGGGAAAGAGGAGAGCTGGAAGAAGGAAGAATGGTGGGGTGTTGATGGTGGTGATAATAACAGTAGCTAGTATTTAGAGAGTGCATGCTATGTGCCAGACACTGTTCCAAGTGAAAGTGCATGAAGCTTGCATCTGATTGGACTTAGGGAGAAAGCAGAAGGTAGGGGAATGGAAATGGAGCACTGCAGACTGACCTACCAGTTTATGGTTTGGGCAGCTGGTGGTACCATTTTACTAAGTGCAGTAACCCAGGCAGAGGCGTAAGCAGGCTCCACACAGAGGTTGGTGTGTAAGAGCTGTTGTTCTGTGTTCTCTGTCAAATTCAGCACCTTGGAGGCAAGCAGAGAGAATTTGAGTTCTTTGGCCTGACCCCTGACACAGAGTTCCTTGGGACCATCGTGAGTTTAGTTCCAACCTGGTCCAAGAAGAGCATCCCCTACATGTACCGAGCGAAGACGCTGCCAGGTAAGTTCAGCTGAAGCCAGAGGGAACTGGGACTCCTGAATTCAAACCTTGACTCTGTGCTTTCCCCCCTGTAACCAAGGTGAGGCTTGGCAGTGCTCTAGAAAACCACAGAAGGATTACTAGTGTATTATTAAAGTCAATCTTTGTTTATTCATAAATGAGTTAGCTGTTGGGTTATCGTAGCAAATGTTTAATCTCCACCCTCCAGCCTATGTCTGAATTTCCTCTCTCTGGCAAGCTGCGTGTGTATCCTGGCAAAGCAAATTCACCTTGATGTTAACTCAAGTGAGAGATCCCAGGAAATAATCTGCAGATGGGAGAGCAGAGAAGATAACAAAGATCCCTCAGTACCTTCTAAAGTCAAATAAAAATAACAGTGATTATAATAGCATTTCTGCAGTGCCAACCAGGGACCAGACACTACGAAACACAATTCTCATGCTTCTGTGAAGCATCTTTGTTCCATTGAGGAAACTGAGGTTCAGAGTGGTTAAGTAACTTGCCCAAGATTGCACAGGTGGTGAGGAATGGAACTAGGCCTAATTCCAGAGAACACGTTCTCACCACTGCACTACCATAGAAAGAGTTTTGAGTCATTGGCTCAGCGGGATGGTGTCCCATCCCACTCGACTCTAGCACATTGAAACTCGACTCTCATCGTAAGCATCATGATGTTTTTATTACTGCTTATCTTCATAGAGATAGAAATGTAATGCTCCAAGTTTAGAGGATGAAAAAAGCGACCGCATTGGACTGGATGGATTTGGAAAACAGTCTCCACCTTAGTCATCTTGTTTAGATTAATGAAGTCAGTAGGTGATTTCTGTTCTGATGAATAGAAGCGAGGCAGCTGCTAGAGGCTGGGCCCGAGGGTATAACTGCAGCTTGGTAGAAACATCATAGGGTAGGTTCTGGTTCTCAGCTTTGATCAGAAACTCAGCTCATCGGTTTCCCCAAAAGCCCACAAGAGACTGAGTTCTCCACCTGAGTCCCAGTGCATTTGTTTTCATGGGAAGATATGCCTGGCGGAAGAACAGCCAGCACTGACCTCTTGCACGGGGCATGCCCTTCCCGGGGAAAGGGCCACATGAAGACCAGAATAGAACTTGGCAATAAGAGAACTAGAAAAAGGAAACCAACTTCACAGGCACTGAGTTGGGAGTGTGTATATGATTTGTGACTCTCCCCTGGACCTTCTAGATAACTGTCATTCATTCCTGAACCGCCCCTGCCCTCCTGCTTATTGACAACATGTGGGCCACTCCACCCATATCCTTCTGTTGGTTTGTCCTTACGTGATCTAGCTCATGATATATCATTTTTTTCTAAGACTGTAGCTGCTTTTAAATGAATCATACTTCATGGTGGCTATTTCTTGGTGACATATAGAAAGCACCTTATCCTTTATAATCAAGTATATTAATAACAATTCTTACCATTTATTAAGTACCTACCCTATTGCCAAACACTGTGTTAAATTCTTTCCATATATTATCCCATTGAACCCTTATAACAATCCTGCAAGTTGTATAGCATTATCCCCCTTTTACAGAGGAGGAGCTCTGGCTCAGACAGGTTAAGCAACTTGCCGGTGACCACACAGCTGGTCAGTGAACCTAGTTAAGTTCATCTGATCCTGAAGCCTGGGCTCTAATCACCACTTTGCAATTTTGTTTAGAGCCTATCCCCTCTACTGCACATTTATTCCTCTTACTTCCGTATCATAATGAAACGTCCTGCCCTTGACCGTGTATCCAGGGGTCTGTCTTATCCCCAGAGCCCAGAATCCCTCCTTTATCTACCTCTCAGAATGTGTTGGACCATCATCCCAGCATCGTTTTTTTTTTTAATCTTTTTTTTTTTTTTCTTTTTTTTTTTTGCGGTATGCGGGCCTCTCACTGCTGCGGCCTCTCCCGTCGTGGAGCACAGGCTCCGGACGCGCAGGCTCAGCGGCCATGGCTCACGGACCCAGCCGCTCCGCGGCATGTGGGATCCTCCCGGACCGGGGCACGAACTCATGTCCCCTGCATAGGCAGGCGGACTCCCAACCACTGTGCCACCAGGGAAGCCCCATCCCAGCATCTTGATGCTGGAAAGGGCTCTGTGTGTTGGTTCACCCCATATCTTAATTTTACAGATGAGGAAATGGAGTCATCATTGTGTAGTGGCTGTGAGAATGAGCTTTGGAATTATACATGTCAATCCTGGCTTCTCCACTGAGTAGCTGTGTGACCTTGTTCAAGTCATTTAACCTTTCTGAGACTCAGCTTCATTATCTGTAAGGAGTGAGCATCCATGGCCATCTGTTTGGTGGGATAACATTGGTAGAGCACCCCACACAGTGCGTGGCATGTAGTAAGAGTTCGATCATCACTGGGTACTGTTATTAATCAATGGAGGCCAGAGAGGGTCGTGCAGAAGATGAGGGTCTCATCAGTGGCTGAGCCAGACCTCTAACACCCCACATTCCAGGGTTGCTTCCATTATTTCTTCCTACTTCCCTGTGAGTGAAATAGCAGAAATGTTCCAAGTCCCTGTCCTGTCCTGGTACAGGGAGCAACAGTTTTCCAGTTACATTAGGCATGTCATGTAGAGACATTTGGGTCCTGTCTTCTCCCTGGTGGAAGTACATGTGACAGGGGAAGTGGGAAGCTGAAGTGGGAAGCTGACGAGAGAGGCCCAAGCCAAAGGGGCTGGGAGAGGAGCGAGGAGTGGGCTAGAAGTAAAGGCTCCAGCAATTCCCAGGGTTCACAGTCATTGCCAAGGTCACTGGCAACTAATGATCAACTCCCCAAGCTGAAGCCGCACAGGGGCCAGGAACAGAAGGAGGGTGACTTGGAGAGTCAAGACCCCCAGGTAATACAAATCTCCAGTTTTAACAAAAACTCCAGCTACCTCTTCCTTACCAAGCCACTCACCAGTCCCACTTGAATTGGTGACAGGAAGTGTGTCATGCCAAGACCTGGCTGCACACACCCATCTCAAAGATGCACGGCCATAGGGAAGAGGCTCAGCATAGAGCCCTTAGCCATCCTCTCCTTCCGTTTTCAAAAAGGTGGTGCCTCCCCAGGCTCCCTCCTGAGTGAGGTCTTCCCAGCTCAGATCTTGGTAGACAGGTGGGGAGGACAGACCCCTCCCATTGTCACATCTCCCCTTCCTTTGCCTCTTTCCCCTGCCCCCACCAGGAAGGCAGGACTGTCCTTAGACCCAGGCAAGAGGGACCCTTTTCTGAGCCCCACACTTTAGAGGGCCCCGCTCCAGCCCCGCTCTGGCCATGGCCCTCCCCGCAAGATGAAGAGTCCTTAGGTCCACATGGGCATATCCCCATGGAACCTGTGAGCTCCAAAATTCCCTATACAGATGGCCAGAGCCTGTGTCCAGTCTCGGCAGATCTCCTCCTTGGGTCTTTTTTCCAGAGGGCAGACACTCTGTTGATGTTTAGGCCCTCGGCCCAAAGGGTGGCCAGCGGGTGGGTATTTGTAGGCGGCGTGGATGAGCTTGGCCATGAGCCCATATCCTTGGGCGTGAGGCCCCTGGAGGTGTGGGCGGGAGCTAGGCTGGGCCTGCGGGAGCTTCCCCCTGTACCTCCACCTTTCCGCACAGCACCCCGAGGCGTCCAAGAATAAAAAGTCAAGCCTTCCGGGTTGTTATGAAAAGTATATCTGTCACGGTGGGAGCACAGAACGTATTTTATTTAACAATGTAAAAACATGATGAAATTCCGAATATTTAGACGTATGGTGTGTGGCCCTCCATTTGTGCCCTCGCCCTGGGCCCTGTAAGTACTGGGGGTAGGAGAGGCCTTCCCAAGCCTGGCCCGAGAGGCAGGGGAGGGAAAGGCCCAAGTTGGCAGTACCCACAACGGCAGCCTTACCCTTCCTGTTCTGACCTCTTACTCACCTAGATCAGACGTGGACCTACTCCTTTTCCGGCGCATTCCTGTTCTCCATGGGCTTCCTGGTCGCAGGGCTCTGCTATCTGAGCTACAGATACATCACCAAGCCGCCTCCGCCTCCCAACTCCCTGGTGAGCAGGGGCCCCGGGGAGGATGGAGAGGCCGAGGGGAGGGCACGGGCCCCGGGACCCCGGCTCTCCCTCATTTCTCCCTCCAACCTAAAGATGTGGCTGGCAACTCCCCCGGTGTGCGGAAGAGAGCTAGGGAGAAGGAAGACAAGGTGTGGAATAGAAAACCCACGTGGCTTCAAGGGGGCGCACACCCTGTCTGAACCGGCAGCCCAGGTACTGCCACCTGGGATCGCAGGCCCACTGTTGCCACATCTTCACATTTTCTCCAGCGAAGTCAGAATTTCAGATTGTAATGTGAAATCTCCCATGTTTCAAATCTTGGCAACTAATTTTTTTAAACTAAACCCCTGCAAACCATACACGTCACATCGGCAGCCCAAGTCTGGCCACCAGAGCTGCACCTTCGTTAAAGCAGCCATGCTCACTGCAGAGCCTGCACAGTCTGGGGCTCGCAGAGACGGCTCACGCCCATCCGCCCCTCCAAGTCAAAGACCAGATGAGCCATTTCCTGTAAAACTCTCCGGGCCTCCCCTGTCCCCCATTCTTCCCCACCTTTCTCCCCGCGTGAGGCCCTTAGGGACCCAGAGCTCAGGAGCAGTTGAGCCAGCACCTGGAGAGCATTCCCCAAGTGCACCCCAAACCCGAGCCAGCTGCTTCCAGAGTGCCCGCCTCCTAGAGAAACCACAGCCTACCCGCTCTCCCTAGACAACCAGACTCTGGAAGCGGCCCTCAGCTAACAGGCTGGGAGCCCTGTCCCTTCACAGAGGCTCCAGCACTTAGAGGAGTCCCTGGGAAGGGACACAGGGCTCACACATCGTGGAAAAGCCCCCAGGTGGTCTACCCCTTCCCCTCCGCCCCCAGCCCTGCGGAGGACCGCGGCACGCACGGCACCCTCGGGGAGCTTGAACACACCCTAACGGGCACACTGTTCTCCCCGCACAGGATGTCCAGCACGTACTGACCTTCCAGCCTCTGCAGTTCATCCAGGAGCACATCTTAAGCCCCGTCTTTGACCTCAGTGGCCCGAGCGGCCTGGCGCAGCCTGTCCAGTATTCCCAAGTCAAGGTCTCCGGGCCCATCGAGCCTCCAGGAGCCCCACCGCGACACAGCCTGTCTGAGGTCGCCTACCTTGGGCGGCCGGACCTCTCCATCCTCCGGCCCTCTGGCGGGCCACCTCTCCAGACACTCCCCCCACTGCCCTATGCCCCCCAGGCTGCCCCTGAGGGCGGGCCCCTGTCCTATGCACCTCAGGTAACCCCCCAAACTAAACCCCCCTCCTACACTCCCCAGGCCATCTCGGAGGCCCAGCCTCCTTCCTACACCCCTCAGGCCACTCCGGACAGCTGGCCTCCTTCCTACGGGATATGCAGGGAAGGCTCTGGCAGAGACCCCCCACCTATGACACTCTCTGGTCCCAAACACCTCGGAACTAAAGGTCAGCTCCAGAAAGAGGCACCAGCTGGAAGCTGCAGCCCAGGTGGCCTTTCTCTGCAGCAGGTGACCTCCTTGGCTATGGAGGACCCCCAAGAAGTAAAATCCTTCCACCAGCATCTGGGGGTTCACACGGACAGAGAACCTGACTCTGATGTCGTACGCAGAGGAGAGCCAAGGACACGAAGCTACGTAAAGGGCCAGCTGCCCCTCCTCTCCTCTGTCCAGATCGAGGGTCACCCCGTGTCCCTCCCTTTGCAGACTCCTTCCCGCCCATGTTCCCCCACAGACAAGGGTCCGAGTCCCTGGGGCTTGCTGGAGTCCCTCGTGTGTCCCAGTGATGAGGGTCCAACAACCGAGACTGAGGCCCAGAGCCCAGGCCCTCGGGCCCCAGACCTGGAGTCGCCCATGGAGCTGGACTCTCTGTTCAGAGGCCTGGCCCTGACGGTACAGTGGGAGACCTGAGCGGGAACAGGGTGGGCCTGGGGCTTCTTCCTGTCCCCATCCTCACCTCGCATCCTTGGCCGTCACTCCCGCACCCAGCGGCGCTGCGCACTCTGCAGCCCAGCCCCGGGTGAATGTCCTTGAGGAACCAGCAGAAGGAGGATGCCGGACTCCTGCCGTGGCTGAGCTCCCTTTGGAGAAAAAGGCATGAGAAGGGCTCCAGCCAGAGAAGTTACAGAAGTGCATCATATACAAACGAGCGAGTGCCAATGAGCATGTGCCCGCCAAGTTCTGCAGGGCAGGACGGGCAGTCAGAGTGCAGGTGCTAATATGGGGAACCTCCCGGAGATCCAGGGCCCAGGATCCTAATACGCTGGACGCAAAGTTCTCCATGAGCCTACCTCTCTTCATTCCTGGCCACTTTCATAATCTAGTTCAGCAGAGTGAGGCCTCTGCCTCCTCTGTGGTTTCCCAAAGGTGAGAAAAGGAGCCTGAAAAAGGACACCTCATAGCAGACTGTGCAGAACCAGAACAACCTGCTCTTCTGCCAAGTCCAGAGGCAGCCTGATGGCAAGATTCCAGGGAGGGGTGCGGCCTGCGTCTCATCCCCGACCAGGGCTGCTGCCTGGAATTGCACCATTTCAGTTTCATTCCTCTGCTAGAGGCTTTATCCCAAGTGAAATGCAGGTCCACCAGGGAGGGAGAACACAGAAGCCTTTTCTGTCGGCAGGAGTTTCAGACCCTATCCTGGCAGCGGGGTTTGAAAGGAACATGGGGCCATGGGGCAACTGAAGGAGACATAACTACAAACTGTACCTACTTCACAACTTTGGAAACTCAGCCTTGGATTCAGCCCACCTGGGTTCAAATTCCGGACTTAGTACTTAAAAGCCATGTGACTTCAAGCAAATGAATCACGGCTCAAAATCTCAGTTTCCTCATCTGTGTCATGGGGATAATAACACTGACCTCACAGGGTTGTGGTGAGGATGAAATTAAACAATGCCGGCAAAGTGTTTCATAGTGCCTGGCTCATGGGCAGTGCCCAATAAACTGTAGTATTTCCTGTTGTGATTTTTAAAAAATAGGACAGTACAGGAGTGACCCACTCCCCCAATTCAGCTTGATTTTGAATCAGGCATTTTCTCATGGGCTTAAATAATCCTGATTTCCTCAGGATTGCTCCAGGCCAAGCTGAAGGAGCTGGACTGTCTAGGAGGGGGCGAGGGAAGGGATTGCAGGAAACAGGGTCCAGGGACAAATGGAACCTTCTCCTTGAGTTCATAGGTGGAAGCTGTTTTGGGAGTGGCAGCAGCATTCTCAGAGGACCTTCCTCCCCGACACCCCACCAGAGGTAGCACAGGGCTACCCTGTCCTCCTGCCCTGGCACAGGGTCCTTGTCCGAGCTTTCAGCACGCCGTCACATCCTTTGTGTCATTGCATCTCACGTGAACCCTATGATGAGGAAACCGAGGCCCAGAGAGGAGAAGGGGCTCCCCCCCACAAGCCCCCACTGAGGCCGTGACACAGCGGGAGCTCAAACCTAGCGATTTTTGTCTTCATCAAGAGAAGGAACTTTCCACACCAGTCTGGATTCTTGTAGGATGAGACTCCTGGGGCATCAGGAGGGGAGGGCCCCAGTGGGGTCCCTGAGGGGCAAGTGCCTCCAGCCCCATCCTGTCCCAAAGCCCTGTCTGAACATTTCTGAGAAACAGCATCAAAGTCCAGTTGCCCCGGTGAGACCCTTTCCGGAGCGTGCAATGCCCTCCCTCCTCTGTACCCAGTACGTGCCCCCTCCTCTTCACCCCTCCCCTCCTTGCGACACAGCACCCGGGAGCACTGTCCTTATCTGTTTGTAATTAATATTTAACATCTCTTCAGGGTCACTGGTTTAGACCCAATATCTCCATAGCAGAGGGAGGGACCGCCCTCTCCAACACCCCCAGCCCTTTCTCCTCCTGGCAGCTGCTACGTTGGCCCTAATGACTGCTCCCTTCCCCCAAACCACAAACAAGCCTGCTTCCTGTCACTCAGGGTGAACTTGGCCAAAGGTTGACTGTCTCACCTTGTTTAGTCATGGAAAACAGCTTAACAGTTGGACTGTTCTCACCAGGTGAGAGGGCCAGGGTGTCAGAGGTTTTTTTACTAAAAGCCATAAACACCTCTTCCAACTCACAGGCCACAAAGCTCTCTAAGCTCCTTGGGGGGACAGTCGTTCCTACAGTCCATGACTCTCTAGGTCCTGTGACCCTCCTCAGGCTGGCCCTGTCCCCACCAGGCTGCATACCCCCTCAGGTCTCTGGCCTCCCAGGCAGGCAGCTCAGGCAACCAGCTAGGGGACAGAGTGTCCAAGGCCCTGGAGCTGGGCTGGGACGCTGGCATTCCTGAGTGTCCTAGGCTTTGACTCCACCACCAGGACTCTCCACAGCCTTGCCCCACGCAGTCCAGAGAAAGGTGAGTCTGCGAGGTATCACCTGCCTCCAAGGCAGGCAGAACCCAGCCCAGGAGCAAACGAATAGTAGTCCAGCAGTGGCTGCACGAGGAGAAGTCAGAGGAGGAGGAACTCGACCCCGCTGCTGGGAAGTTCCTGTCCTCGCTGGCTCGTTCTTCCATTCACCTGCCCTAATAGGCCGAATTACAGATATTTTACAAAGGAGGAAAATGTGGCTCAGAGGGGTTTCTTGCCCAAGATGGTTTCCTAAACTTGCCTCACCATAAGAATCCCCTGAGGAGCTTACTAAAAATACAGCTTCCTCAGCCCTAGCCCAGACCTGCTGAATCCATAGCGACTGGGGAATCCAGATTCTCAGTAAACTCCTCTGATGATCCCTCTTAGGCAAGTGGAGGGAACCATGCTCTTATACCAATAGTTTTCCTATCCTGTGGCCTCAAATCATCCCCCTAGAGCCACCCCCATCTCCTCCCCTGTGTGGGAGTTGGGGAGCTGCAACAAGGGGTGGTGTTTCAACCTGGAATGGCTACAGATCCCTGGCCTTCCAAACCCCCAGCCCCAAGAACACACAGGGGTTCCACCCAGAGAATAGGGCTATCGGGGACGAGGGCTCCTCCAGAGTCCTGGAGGGCAAGGCTGGATCCCTCTGTGCCCATCCCCAGTCTGAGTGTCAACCTGGACAGAGGGACACAGCTCTGAGACCCCATCCCCACACCCTCAGGCCCTCAGCTGATTTTCCCTTCCCACTCTAAGGAGGAAGGGGCATAAGGAAGATGCGTTTTGACCTGCTAGTATGAGAAGAACAGTAACTGGAATTAACTAAAGTGTGAGAGCAGCAGAGGGAGGGAAGGGAGACTAAAGCAGGGAGAAAGGAGGTAGTGGGAGAACGCACTGGACCAGACAGTTCTCCACTTGACCACCAGGTGGGGCCATCAGCCAAAAACAGTTTGGTTGCTGTCAGACAATGGTGTGGAGGTTCAGGATGGTTGGCAGGTGGAATAGGGTTCAAATGATCGTCCGTAATATTCATAGGTCCAGGGAGTGCAACGAAAGGGAAAAGGAGGGGAGAAAGAATGAAATATTTAAGAAGTACTAGCCATGAGTTAAATACTATACCAGGCATTTCACGCATTTTAACCTCATTTGAATATCATAAACATTCTGCAAGATAGGTATTCATTCGTTCATTTTTGACAAGCATACACGGGGGATTCCCTGGCGGCCCAGTGGTTAGGACTCCGCACTTCCACTGCAGGGGGCACACACGGGTTCCATCCCTGGTCGGGGCACTAAGATCCCACATGGCGTGACCAAAAAAAAAGAAAGAAAGGAAAAAAGCATATATCAAGGACCCAGTTGTATGCCAGGCACTGTTCCTGGGGCTAGGGATACAGTGAACAAGACAGGCAGGCAAGTTCCCTGTTGTCTTAGAGCTTGCATACAATTTGCAGATAAAGAAACGGCCCAGAAAGGAGGCCAAGATCCCCCCATTAGTACAGGTGCCACAGGTGGGGAATATTTATTTATCTGGCTGCGCCAGGTCTTAGTTGCAGCACGTGGGATCTTCGTTGCAGCATTCAGGCTCTTAGTTGTGACATGCGGGATCTAGTTCTCTGACCAGGGATCGAACCCAGGCCCCCTGCATTGGGTGCGCAGATTCTTAACCACTGGACCACCAGGGAAGTCCTGAGGTTGGGATTTAAACCAAGGTTCCTATGCCTCCAAGCCTGACCTGTGCTCAGCCTCATGGCCTGAGGGCTAGCTGTGCTCACATTAACGCACGTCAGGAGCGGGGAGGGCATCACCGGGCTAGGGTACATGGGGTACATGGGAATCCCACACCCAGAAGGAGGGCTAGAAAAAGCTCTCAGCACGCCTAGAGTCGTGCAGTTATTGGTGGAGCTCTCACTTAGCAAATGTTGCTGGGTGCCAGACGTTGCACCACAGGCTCCACATTCCCTATTTGAATCTTAGCAATCAGACTGCAAGGCAGGCATCATTGACCCCACTGCACAGGTGATAAAGCCAAAATGGCTAAGTGACTTGCCCAAGGTCATAGAGCTAGTAGGCGGGGGCACCTGCATCAGGCTGCTCTGGGGGGAAGGGGTTATAGAACCAGTTTAAATGTCTGTCTCGTGCTGGATTGGAAGTCCACACCTCTTGGCTGTAAAACAGATTCACACTCACACCTCACAATGAATGTATAAATGTGGGTCTTGGAAATCCCTTCCTAGGTTGGGTCAGTATAAAATGGGAGAGAGGGCTTCCCTGGTGGCGCCGTGGTTACGAATCCGCCTGCCAATGCAGGGGACACGGGTTCAAGCCCTGGTCCAGGAAGATCCCACATGCCATGGAACAACTAAGCCCGTGCGCCACAACTACTGAGCCTGCGCTCTAGAGTCCGTGAGCCACAACTACTGAGCCCGTGTGCCACAACTACTGCAGCCCGCGTGCCCAGAGCCCGTGCTCCGCAACAAGAGAAGCCACTGCAATGAGAAGCCTGCGTACCACAATGAAGAGTAGCACCCCACTTGCCGCAACTAGAGAAAAGCCCGCTTGCAACAACGAAGACCCAATGCAGCCAAAAATAAATAAATTTATAAATTAAAAAAAATATATAGGAAAGAGCCATCATATGGTCTCCACCCAAAGATGCTCTTAATGCTGCATCCAGGAAGGAAGGGAGATGCGTAGGAAGGGGGTTTCAAATAGGGCAGGAGACTGAGAATTTTTTTTTTAATTTATTATTATTATTATTATTATTTTTTGCGGTACGCGGGCCTCTCACTGTTGGGGCCTCTCACTGTTGGGGCCTCTCGCGTTGCGGAGCACAGGCTCCAGACGCACAGGCTCAGCGGCCACGGCTCACGGGCCTAGCTGCTCCGTGGCATGTGGGATCTTCCCGGACCGGGGCACGAACCCGTGTCCCCTGCAACGGCAGGCGGACTCTCAACCACTGCGCCACCAGGGAGGCCCTATTTTAATATTTTTTATTGAGGTATAGTTGATGTACAATATTACATAAGTTTCAGGTGTACAAAATAGTGATTCACAACTTTAGAGGTTATAGTCCATTTATAGTTATTATAAAATATTGCATATTCCCTGTGTTATACAATATACCTTTGTAGGTTATTTATTTTATACACAGTAGTTTTTACCTCTTAATCCCCTACCTTTATCTTCCCCCTCCCCCCTTCTCTCTCCCCACTAGTAACCACTAGTTTGTTCTCTATATGTGTGAGTCTGTTTCTTCTTTGTTATATTCACTAGTTTGTTTTATTTTTCAGATTCCACATATAAGTGATATCATTCAGCATTTTTCTTTCTCTGTCTGACTTATTTCACTTAGCATAATGCCCTCCAAGTCCATCCATGTTGCTGCAAATGGCAACATTTCATTCTTTGTTATGGCTGAGTAATATTCCATTGTATACATATACCACATCTTCTTTATCCTGTCATCTGTTGATGGACACTTAGGTTGCTCCCATATCTTGGCAATTGTAAATAATGCTGCCATGAACACTGGGGTGCATGTGTCTTTTCGAATTAATGTTTTCATTTTTTAAATATATTCCCAGGAGTGGAATTGCT